CCCCTTCACTGTGTAGCGCCCCGAGACATTACTCTATGTGAAGGGTAGCAGCGTAAACGCAAGTTGTGTATAAATACAAGGAGAGTTCTAGCATTGGAACAGATTCTTATGCAACTGAGCACTTCACACACATCCTTTCAAGTTGATTAAACTCTGGCCTCGATCGATAACCTCTTACGCAACACTAAGTTGATGCCTCTTGATGCAGAGCTTCAGAAGGCCAATTAATCTGGTGGAAAAATAAAATGAGAAGCGTTTCCACACAGAGCAGCCAAAGGCGATATTGGATCCACTGCACTCTCATCTCTGCATCAGATGATCATGGGTTCGAGCCCCATGTCGGGGACTTTTGAGGTCACAGTCTTGGCTGATGTTGCAGTGCTGTGTGGCTGTGGAGGGAGTGCTGTATTGTCAGGAGGTGCCGTCCTTCGGATGAGAAGTTAAAACCGAGGTCCCGTCTGTACCCTGTTCACGCGGACGATAAAATTAACGCGGGGTTATTGGAAGAGAGAAGGAGGTCTCTCCCGGTGTCCTGTCCAACAATCCTCTGGATAAAAATTAAGTTGCTCGCTTCGCGGCTGCTTGTCAGACAATGTTGTGCATTCCCGTTAAAAAAAAAATGCACAGTCACTACGCATTGCGGTAAATCCTGTGAAGCGACCTCGATTGAGACATCCTTTCAACGTGAAAGGCACAATATGAAACGCAACAGTCTTTTTAAAGCCAACAATCTTGTAGCTGAGAGCGCGAGGGATTTGAAATTTCGTGGGAGATACAGCTGGGAGGCAAAGGCAGTTTTATGACTCCAGGAACGAAGCTAAAATATTCGGGGCCATAAAAATCCCAGACGAGAAGCAGAGTCGATAGAAAACAGAAACATTTTGAAAATAAATGTTCTGATGTGCCACACTTTGGTTCTGTCGACAGGTTTAAACCTGCAGCGTTGAAACAGTGCCCTGAAGAGCTCGCAGCGAGGATGTTCGTTACTGAACGCAAACGCATGTACAAAACCCGAGCGACCCTCAAGATATGGGCCATGTCACAACCGGACTCGAACGCAGTACTTCACTCCTGATCCTCCCGTCAACTAAAATAATAATAATAATTAATAATAAATCCTCGCAGTTTGATATTGTGTCTTACCAGGCCGGGAAGACGCCTCAGAGCGCGTCACAGGATTTCACTCGACCCTGCGTATTTAGTGCGGGCGAACTCAACAGCCTCTTGCAACTTGGGATCATAGGAACAAGAAGAGGCCATTCAGCCCCTCAAGCCTGTTCCGCCATTCTATCAGATCATGGTTGATCAACGGCCCCACAAACCCGCCATCAGGTATATGACTGGTTTTATCTGGAGGATTGTTGGCCAGAACACCAGGGGAGAGAAACTCCCTAAACTTTTCGAATAGCAACGTGGGGTCTTTAACATCCGCCTGAACAGAGTAGAGACGGGGAGCTTGGTTTAACGCCTCATCAGGAGGATGCTGCCTCCGATAACGTGGTGCTCCCACCCCTCCCCCAGCTCTGCGTCAGCCTAGAACGTGAACCTGAAGTTGCAGGGTGAAACGTGGGGGCTTGAACCCACAACTCTCTGACCTTCTGAGACGGAAAGAGCTACCCACTGAGCCAGGCTGATAACCCGTGTCGGAAGAGAAGTTCACGCATTTCCGACGTGAAAGGTGCTGCATAAGTGCAACTCATCGTTGTTTCTTTGTTTGTTGAAGAAATCACCTCTTTAACGTCCTGATCTCCCCTTTTACCCCAGTCACTGCTCAGCCCTCAAGAGCCTAAGCCTTGGAAACCTTCAGCGAATTGGTTAACAATTGGCATAGAAATAGCAACGCGGCAATTTTGAAGTTTGCAGTACGAGACGTGCACCTTTAAGTCGAAGCGAGCCCGTGGAGCCCGGTTCCAATTCAGTTGGTGCAGCATTAATTTCCAAATTGAATTCTAGGCGTTAAGCCAACTCCAATTTTTGTGTTGATAGTGTAACTCTTTAAATACTGGGTGGCCTGTGGAACGCTCGAAGCCCATTGTGTTGTGTGCCATACCTCAGCTGCAACAATTTCCTGCGGCCTCTCTTCTTTTTTTTGGGCCAAGTGCAATTTAAGGAGGGACATTAATTAGGACATTATTCCTTCACAGGAGGGTGATCCATAGCCGGAATAGGTTACCACGATGGTCAGGACACTGGGATTCATCCGAGGGACAGCGTCAATGAGGAACAATGGGGATTCAGGGCAGGTATTCTGAAATCTACCAAGTTAGCAACCGTTGTAGACACTACACGAACACACACACACACGCACACACACGCGTGCACACACACACACACACACACGCGCCACACCTATTTGCAAACTTGTTCGGATCTGCTGCAAGACTTAACTGCAGGAATTAGCCCGAGGGAGTTGTAGATTTATCACAAGAACTTGATTGGTGGAAAATTATGAGTGTGTGTGTGTGTGTGTGTGTGTGTGAGGCCGGTGTGACAGACTGAGTGTTCCTGGCCCCAAATCCCACAAATAAAATTGGTCGCTCACTTAACAGCTGTTTGTGGGACGTTGCTGTGCACAAATCGGCTGGCGTGTTCGCCTAAAAAACACACAGTCACTACACTTTGGAGTCCTGGAGCTCAGTGGTTAGAGCACTCGCTTTGCAAGTGAGAGACCTGAGTTCAATTCCAGGCAGAGGGCGAAACCTTGGGCAAGTTTCCTTACTCCACACAGAGCCTAATAATAATCCCTCCAAAACCAAAAACAATAATAAATTGGTCATTTTCAATCCACGACTGTTTGTGGGACATTGCTGTGCGCAATTGGCTGCCGCGTTCGCCCACAAATATACAGTCAATTCACTTTACAGTCTATTCTGTGAAGCGCTTTGGGACGTCCTCCCGACGTGAAAAGCGCTATATCAAACGCAAGGATTATTATTATTATTATTACTTTACAGTATCCTACTGTAAAGCACTTTGTGACATCCTCCCGATGTGAAAGGCGCTGTATGAAATGTAAGGTTTATTATTATTATGATCACTCGATGAGCCGCCTTTCCTCCCTACTTCCCACCCCCTGCTTTATCTCCCAGCCCCAAGCCATCGTGATCTGACAAACCAGACTCATTTCACCGCTGAACAGGTTTGGTTGTTTCCGCTTTCCCCTCGGCTCAGTTGATGAGCGAAGGGAACCCAGAGGTATGGGAAGACTAGAAAGAGCTAGAAAGACTTTGATCGGTGCCAAAATTCCACCTGGTCTCAGCCCGCCAGACCAGTTCGCTTTCAAAATTTAAAATGGCGCAGAACTGTGCATACACAGTCACTAAACTTAACAGTATATACTGTGAAGCGCTTTGAGACGTCTCAATGACATGGTACGGCGCTATATAAAATGCAAGGATTATTATTATTATTACCCTCCCCGCCATCGTAGATGGACCACAGGGTCTACTTTACCCAAACCTCTGGTGATCATAGCTTTAGAGTCACAGCGGAGAACCACATAAGAGGCAGTAAGTAAGGCAGAGCGTTTGCAAAGTGCCGCTGCTGAATGGCAATGTGTCCTGGACACATTCAACTAGCTCCCTCTGCTGTCCATCCACTTGGACTTCCACCATCCGGGCAGTTGCTTGCACGTCTCATGTTCCAAACTACGGTATCCCGAGATATTATTTCCTAAGAGACATCTATCTCATTTGCCTTTTGAATCTCAGGATCTCATTGCAAGGTTCCCACGGCAGAATCCCACCGATCTGATTTTACCCCCGACAATCAACCTCGTCGAACAGGGCTCCTTAATTGTGAACACAATCCCGTGCCTCACACCTTACCCACCGCTGGCCCGCAAATGACGTAGCTCCCAGGTTAAGGGCTGTCATTAATCACCCTATTGGAATGAGGCATTAATCCACATGTCAAGTGTGTTTAATATACATTTTCTGTTGAGAAAATGTTCTAATAGGTGTTCATTGTAACCGGGGTCAAAACAAGCATGAGAGTCTCCTACCTCCCACCCTGTCAAACATGTCCAACTGAACATGTGCAAAAGCTTGAGTGGTCACCAGGCTGAACCACCACCACTGGCTGTTCCCCAGACCCTACCAATATCCCTCAGGAATGTCGGGGTGATGGTCATCTGTAGTATTGGCGCCTCGTCCAACCACAGTCTTAAAATTGAGGTTCAGACTTTTAGGACAGTGTTGAGGAAACATTTCTTCACTCAGAGGGTAGTAAATTTATGGAATTCACTCCCCCAGAAGGCTGTAGATGTCAGTCCTTGAACATCGTCAAGGCTGAGACTGATAGATTTTAAAAAAATAGAGGGATTGGGGGATATGGGGAGAGGGCAGGTAATTAGAGTTAGGTCTGAAAATCAGCCATGACCTTATCGAATGGTGGCGGCACAGGCTCGAGGGGCTGAACGGCCGACTCCTGCTCCTAATTCTCATGTTCTTATGTTCTTACAATGGGCTGGGGAAAAAAACACCAGCGTGAACTCATCGTCCAGCCTCATGCTATTGCCCCGGAGAAAGGTTCGGTGGAAATTGAGGCAGGAGTTGTGTCTCTTCTGGGATCTGATTAGACTGGATAGCGAGCAGCAACAACAACAACAACAAAATGACATTTATAGAGCACCTTTCACATCGGGAGGACGCTTCTCAACGAGCTCCTTATGATAATTGTCTTACGAAAGTCCGGAGAAATTGGGACACAAAAAAAACGTCAATTCCCTTTACAGTCTATCCCGTGAAGCGCTTCGAGACGTCTCGATGATGTGATAAGGCGCCATATCAATTGGGAGGATTAATATTACTGTCATTATCACCCACCCGTCAATTATCTGGGGAGGTTGGTGCGGAGGGTGAGAGGCTGTGCGTGGTGGCGCTGGGTGAGGGGGAAGTTTTACAATTAAACAAACTGTTCAAAGCACCCAGAAAGAAAATAAATGCAGAGAAAGGTTTAATTTGTGTATATATATATATATGTATATAAAATCGTTGCGTTCAACAGAAAACAGCCTTACAGATGGAATGGTCACAACGGCTCGCGATGTTTCGCACAAAGATGATGTGAACAACGGACGAACACGGGCTGGAAAGGGGAAATGGAGGCGTGGGAGAGGGGGTTGCGATTGGGTGGGTAGGGGCTGTGTGACGGGTGGGGGGAACGGAACTCAGTTCGAGTTTACGGGATGAGAAACTCGCAGATGTATCTCTTCACGTCACGACACACCTCGGCCGACCATTTTCCCTGGCTGGAGATGGAGGCCAGGGCACAGTTCTCCCGCTTGCCCCCCCGGGGTTCCCCAGGACCCCAGTTGAGGTAGGAGACTGACTGCCCATTGACGTCCACGAATCTTCCCTCCGTGGTCATGTCGTTGACCCCGATCCAGAATCCCGTGGCCCCCCTGAGGCTCTTCTTGGCGTAGCTCCTGAGCTGGGTGGTCTCGTCGCTGTCTCGGGGAATGGCAAGCGTCCCACCCTGGGCGATGCAGTCCTCGTTGGCCATGTGGTAGTTCTTCTCCCCACTCGACCCCAGGAAACACTTTTTGTGAACCTTTATCCCTCTCAGGCACACTGCGGAGCAAAGGACCAACAACAATAATCCTTCTTAACCATCCACACGTTCGATTAGCTCCTTAATAATAATAATAATAATAATACTACTACTAATAATAATAATAAATCTTCCATTTGATACTGGGCCTTATCACATTGTTGAAACATCTCAAGGCGTTTCACAAAGTATATCGTAAAGTGGAGTGACTGTGCATTTTGTGGGTGAAACTGCCTTTCACATCGGTTGGACATCTCAAAGCACTTCATGGGATTTTACTGTAAGGTGCAGTGACTGCGTATTTTTGTAGGGGAACGCAGCAGCCAATTTGCACACAGTAACGTCCCCGCCAACAGCCACGAAGTGAGTGACCATTTATTCTGGGGGGATTGTCAGCCGGGACAGAGAGAGAGAGAGAGAGAAATTCCCTTCTCTTTTCGAACAGTGCCATAGTGGGTCTTTGACGACTGCCTGAACGGGGCACAGACGGGAGCTCGTTTAATGTCTCACCCAAAGGACAGCGTCTCCCACAGCGCAGTGGAGGCTCCATTGGAACGTCAGCCTAGACTGTGAGCTCAAAGTCCCGAATGAACCCACAACCTTCTGACTCAGAGGCGAGGGGAGCTGCCCACCCACCGACAGAGCCGGGCTGGTGACCGGACAGGGTTAAATCACGCACCCGTCTGCAGTGCCTGCATTTCCTTTAGTGAGTTCACATCTCGCCACAGCCTCTCGATCTCTTTCTTCAAGTTGTCTTTGCTGCCTGTCGACGAACAGAAACAGGTGAATATTTTGTGTGTGTGTGGGTCTGTGTGTGTGTGTGTGTGTGTGTGTGTGGTTCTGTGTGTGTGTGTGTGCGAGGGTCTGTGTGTGTGTGTGTGCCTGGGTCTGTGTGTGTGTGCGTGGGTCTGTGTGTGTGTGTGTGTGAGAGTCTGTGTGTGTGTGTGGGTCTGTGTATGTGGGGGGGCGGTCTGTGTGTGTGTGTGTGTGTGTGTGTGTGTCTGTGGGTCTGTGTGTGTGTATGTGTGGGTCTGTGTGTGCGGGGTGGGGGGGGGGCGGTCTGTGTATGTGTGTGTGCGCGTGTGTCTGTGTGTTTACCGTAAAGTGTCGCGACTGTGCATTTTCGCGAGTGGAAAAAGAAAAGCTTTTCCTAATTGAAGGCCGGGTTTAAGAATCTTTCCGCGCACCACCTGCCCAATCGTAAACTTTAAGACAAAGTTGTCTTGCGTCGGTGGCTAAGGACTGGTCCACTTGTGCGTATGTTTTTACTTAAGGAGAGATTTAAGTTCCAGGCTTCCTCCACAAGGTAGCGCTTTAACCCTGAACGTTGAACGAAAGCAGCCCACAGTGGGGACGGCTACAGGTTTGACATGAAAGCCCCCAACCCCCTCCCCCGTGACCCTCCCTCCTGGACCGAGCCAAATGCCACAACGACAACAACTTGCATTCATACAGCGCCCTCCGCACGTGGTGGAGTCTCAGAGCGTTTAACTGTGGCGGAGCACGACCCGAGCAGGGGAGAGAGGGTGGGGGGCGGTGGGGGGGGGGGGGTGACCACAGGTACGGGCGAAGAGGAATGTCGGAAGACGGGCAAGGAGTGGGTGGGGGGGGGGCACAGTGGTACAATTCATTTCTTCTTCGTATGAGTCGTTAAACCAGTTCCTTGGAGATATTAAGCCTCCCTCCCGCTACGTCCCTAAGATAGTACGATAGTCAGGAAAGTTTGTGAACTCGGCGCGAGTTAATACCAACGAGACCTTCTCACCCCACTCCCCCCGCACCACCACCCCACCGCCCCCACCCTCTCCCCCACCCTCCCACCCGTTCAATACATTGGGGAGAAATTCCACACGGAGGGCTGGATTCACTCTGGTCTGTGTCACATTCTGGAGACGGCAGAATTCGGCATCTTCTTAAACACAGTTTTCCTTAATTTTGAAGCCTCTTTACCTCTGTTAAGATTCTTTTTTAAGGAGTGGGGTGGGGGGGGGGGAGATGGGAGGTGGGATGGGGTTGCGGGAGAGAGAGGGAGAGGTGGGAAGACTCAAACGCTTCCAGAAGACACCCCCCCCCCACCCCACCCAACCCCACACACAAAATTCCACCTCGTCTTAGCCCCATGAGACCATTCTGCCTTGAAATTCAGGACGACGCAGAATTGTGGAAAATTCCCAACCACAAATCCGGGCTTCGAAATTAAGACCGAGGAATTTTGAACACTTCCCGACTGTCTAACACTAAAACAGGCTGAGACCAAGGGAGACTCTGGAGAGGGAGGAATTCGAGAAGAAGTTATTGATGAGGAAAAGGATGGAACGGCGGGAATATTTTGGGGGGCTGGGCTCCGGTACAGAAAGGAAATGGGAGGAAATAATAATAATTGTAATAATCCTTGCATTTATCATGTCGTTGAGACGGCCCCACATTGGCAAGAAGCATGCCGGGAATACACTAGGAGCGCACTCTGCGGAAAAGGGGAAACGGGAAGGATAATGAAAGTATAGGTTTTACCTTTGCCGACCTTCGACCGGGATTTGGACGGCTGACCAGCGGAGAGGGAGATGGTGGCGACGCACAAGCAGATAAAGCACAGGAGCCTCGCACGAATCATTGCCGGTGTCGGGCAGCCGGGAATGCCGGAGCGGGGAATGGCGGTGGTGATGGTGGGATGAATGTCCCAGACGACAGCCCAGAGCAGCACTGAAGCAGACACATGTATATATAGGTGAGGAGGCTGTGACGTGGGTTGATTGACACTGAAACTCCTCGGCTCTCGGCTCTGGATCACCCACCGCCTCTCGGTCAATTCCTTTTCCAAAATAAACCCTCCTGTTCAATCGCCCGCTTGATGTCAGCCCGCTCGTCCGTCCGTCCGTCCATCAAATGTTCCTTCAACTTTATGTTGGTTTGGGTTTTCGCTCCGTCTCCACATTCCTTTGCAATTCCCTCATGTTTTCTGTGTAAAAGTTTTCTTTCCCACATTTTTGTTGGAAAAACACACAGTGCCGGGAGGGGAACGGAGGGATGTGTGTGTGTGTTTTATACAGGTTATTCCCTGTCTTGTTGACTCTCTTCCTCGCTCACTCGGTCTTGGGACGTCCTCCCGACGTGATATGTCCTCCTGACGTGAAAGGCGCTATACAAATATAATCTGTTGTTGTTTGTTATTATTCCCTGTCTCGCTGCCTCTCTCCCTCACTCGCTTGGCCTCTCTCCGGGTCAGTAAATCCTAAATTCCGACGTGGAGGGAACGCTGACAGGTTTCTGAACTGCAAAGGCGGGTTTGGGTCTGGGAGCTGTTCGCGTTTGCCTGTGAACTCCATGTGACGTTCATCTCTTACCCTCTGAGGCCGGCCTGTGTTTCGTGTTGAAATAAAACCCCTCAGTCAAGTCAACACATCCTCTTCAGGCCGTAAGATAGAGAACACTTTGTACAGAAAGTCCATATAACAGCCCAAGCAAATATTTATTAGCCAAACATTCTGTGTAATAGTGGTTCCTGTGTATACCAACGTGGGTCAAACGGTTCAGTGATTTTATTTGGGTACCCCTCTCCCTCCCTGTCCCCCACCGCTCCCCCACCCCCCTCACTCCCTCTCCCCCCCCCCCCCCCCCCCCCCACACACACACACACACACATTTCGGCCGCTTTACTTCATCGCTTTGAGGAACGAGCTGCTTTGCAGAAGTGGGTGTAATTTGACCTCGCTGGAGGAACAGTGTCGAGCTTTCACCAGGTTCCTGCGACATCCAGAGTCCGCGTGTGTTTTTCCCGTGCGCAAAGTTTAGGGGAAGAGAAAGGCAACAGCAGCAACAACTTGCATTTATATCGCGCCCTTCGTGCGAGTTAGTGAAAGAGCGAGTGGGCAACAGAGAGAGAGAGAGAGAGAGAGAGTGAGAAAGAGAGAGCATGTGAGAGAATAAACAGGAGCTGAATTTCTTTTGAAATTAAGATGTTTGTTCAGTTTCCACGGGTGGGAAAATTTATCTGTGGTATAGGCTATTTTGGGGGGAGGGGGGGGGGAGGAAAAGTTAAACCTTTGGAACTAGAGAGAGGCCTTTGTGCTTGAAACAGAGCCCCTGTTCAGGTGGGCGTTAAAGATCCCGCAAAAGTGAGTTTCTCTCCCGGTGCCCTGGGATACACAAAAAAAGTGGGATACACAAAATACACAGTCACTACACTTTGCAGTGTATCCTGCGAAGAATTTTGATATCGACGTCACAGGATAATAATTATTACGAGACCGGCGGGGGCTTTGGGGATGTGACATTGCCGGGGAGAGATAAGAGACTGCGGTGGATATTATCCAACCTCACTGAAAAACTAAGAGACGTCTCAAAGCGCTTCACAGAACATACTGTAAAGGGGATTGACTGCGTATTTTGTGCGGCAAAACCCGGCAGCCAATTGCGCCCAGCAGCGTCCCACAAACTGTCGTGGATTGAATGACCAATTAGTTTTCAGTCCGGTTATAGACTTCCAGTGTAACAGAGACCTGCATTGTGCTGTCAGCAGCTCTCCGAGCAATGGGGAGCAACACTGGGGGGGGTGTGGGTGGGGGGGGGGAGCGAGGAAGGACATACACTGGGCGTCACTCCAAAGACAACAAGCATAACAGAAAGTCCTCATCAAAGCAAAACATATTCCCTCCTTTCCACCTAGTTCTCTCAACACGCCCGTGACCGTGAAGAGAGACACTGTGTTGCCTGGAAGCTCCTGGAAGCTCAGTCTCTGTTCTCGGTGTTTGCTGGATGACTCCCAGTATAGGCTTCGTTAACACTGGGGGGGGTGGGGACGAGTGGGGGACAGGGTGGTGGGGGTTTGAGAGGGGGGGGCCACACACTCAGCACCATCTCATTCCAAGATTAATATAGTTGTCTCAGCCTAACTCAAGCCCTGGTGCTCTCTCGCCTCTGAGCCAGAAGGTTGTGAGTTTGAGCCCTGAGAGACCTCTCCAAGCGCTTCACAGAATATACCGTAAAGAGAATTAACCGTGTATTTTGCGGGTGGGGTGGGGGGTGGGTAGGAGGGAGGGGGAGATGTTATCGGATGTTGGCACATCCAGGATTGACGTTGTACCTCAGTGTAACAAATCAGAACCGTTATTTATCTTCGCGTCACGTGGAGGAGATGGTCTGCGGCCAAGTCTGGCTGCAGGTATGAGAAAGCTAATATTTGCCCAGGAACTTGGCCAGCACGTGAGGCTTGTGGGAGTCTGTCTGCTTCCGAACTTCTTTCCCGTCTCTGGCTCACGCCCGATTAAACGAGAAGAGAAAGCAGGATCTTGCGAGGCGATGGTGGGTGTGAGGAGGGAGGAGAGGAGGGAGGAACAGGGCTTGATAGTGGATGAAGAACTCATAGTTCCGAACCCCCAGACTCTGAGCTCACTGATTAGGCTGACGCTCCAGCACAGAGCTGGTGGGGGTGGGGGTGAGGTGTGGGGTGAGTGGTGGGGGGGAGCATCCCATAGTCAGAGGTACCGTCCTTCAGATTAGACGTTAAACCCAGCTCCTCATCTGTGCCCTGTTCAGGTGGACGCTAAAAGATCACGGCTGCCAAGGCATACATTGGCGTTTTCCAACAAGACGCACAGTCACTGCACTTCACAGTAAATCCTGCGAAACACTTTTGAGACGTTCAGACGATAAGGTGATAAGGGGCTGTATCAAGCGCAAGGGTTGTTGGTAGTTATCACAGCCCGACAGCACTTCGATTGGCGTTGTGACTCGCACGCAACAGACCCCCTTTTGGGGGGCGGGGGGGGGGTGGTCGTGGGGAGGCAACAGAGGGAACCCCGACCCCATCAGAAGGAAAATATTGAGTCAGTCTTTCGGGGAAGAGAAAAGCAACGGGCGAAAGAGTACTGAAGCACAACTGAAACCTGGTGGTGCTGTGCCATGTCACGCCAGGAGAGGGTACCGATGCTCCCCTTTTTTTCTCCGCAAATATTTATCTGCATTTGCATCCAAACAGAAACGTGCGTACATTTCCAGACGTAGATATTTATCCAAGCGCCTTGCAGGATTCTAACTGCGAGGTGCAGTGACTGTGTGTTCTGCGGACGAACGCGGATTGATTGTCAGCCAGTTGATGGCAATCTGGCTTCTCTGTGGGGTTTGAGCACCCCCTCCTCCCCACCCCCACCACCCCCACCCATCGCAGCCTGGCCTGACAGTGATGTGTTTTATTGGGGGGTGGGGGGGGGGGGATGTGGAGAAGGAGGAGCGATGCATGGTCAGAAGTTCCGAGGCTTTGGGTTAGAGGGTAGACCAAGGCAACATTGTACAAGGATATATCTGAGCCCAAGGTCAGTCACTCCCGAACAATGCAGGAATACGAGGGAGGGAGGGAGGGAGGGATTGCACTGGTATTTACCGGCTTGTGCTGAGATTAGTCCACTGTCATTAGCACAGCATAAACACTCTCTGACCCTTCACCCAGAGCTGCCACGCATTCTCTCATGAGTGTCTGGGTCGTGAAAAAAACCCGGGAGAAACGAGGCTGATTGTAAACCAGGAATGCTTCCCCCTCCCTTACACACACAGATACACACACACACACGCACATACATACATAAACACACACACGTACGTGAACATCCATCCCAACACATACCCATGTACACACACGCGCACACATGTACATCCATCCCAACACATACACTGCCCACACACATATATATACCACATACACACACACACACATATATACCACCCGCGCATGCACACAGTCACACACACATATATACATAGCAACACAGACCCCCTCCCACACACAGACCCCCCTCCCACACACACACACACACACAGAGATACTCTCTCACACACACACACACACACCCCGATGTCTAATCTCCCCGCTGTGCATGAATAGAGAGAGAGAGAGAGAGATAGAGGTCAGTTACTCTGAGAATATCTGAGGCGGAATGGTCTGAGAGGCTAAGACCAGGTGGAATTTCAGGATGCAGATTGTAAGCTGGTTTGGGGGCGGGGGGTGGGGGGGTGATGTGGGGGATGAGGAGTGAGCAAGCCTGGCCCCTCGTTAGCTGGTTTGTATTGAATGAAAGGAAGAAAATAAACTAGAAAGCAGCCGGCCAGCAGGGAGCCCCGGCTTGAACCCCCCCCCCCCACCCCCCCCCCCCCCAACGTTTGATAATCCACTGCTTGCTCCGTAAACCGTTCCCATGGTGACCGCTGCCGCCGCAGCCCGTGTCGGAGGTGATTTATCAGGCGGTGACGTCCGCTTCAGCTCCTGCTCCTAGAGGAGCTGACACCAAACACGGCAACGGGTCCTCAGGCGCCATTGGACTGACCGTCCGGTGCCTTGGGATGTCCTCCCGAGCTCCCCGGATCCAAACCAGCCTCCGCGCGGCCCGGCTGAGCTGCCCGAAACCTGGACTGGTTTCCTCCGCAGAGAAACCGGGACTTCGTAAACGTCAAACCCCCCCCGTCCGTCAACGCGCTTCCAATGGCGTGTGTGATACCCACTCCCCACCTCCCCTCCCAGGCAACAACAACAACAACGGCTGGTATTTATAAAGCGCCCTTCACGCTCAACAGCATCTCGGAGCTCTTCACAGCGGCAGTGGCCGACGCCAAGCCGGGGAGGGGGGAGTGGGGCGAGGGAGGAGGTGACCGTAAGCACGGCCGAAGAGGAAGGTCGTCACGCGCAATCTCAAAGAGGAGGGAGGAGGCGGTGCTCGCTGGCAGAGCCAGGGGCTTGCTTGCATGAGAGCCAGGCAGAAGGTAGGTGGGGGGACATGGCTGCCTCGAGTGTGCACTCAATGTGAACTTGAGCCGATTGACACTTGCTTCAACAGCGCTTTGTGGAAATTTAAGTGTCAATAATTACGCTTCCTCTAACCTCTCCACTTTTTTTTTGTTATTCTTCCAGGAATAATCCTCGATTCACACCCTCTTGTTACCTCCTCTCCAACTTTGTGGATATATAGCCCCTCTCTCCGTCCACCCCAAAACAAAACGGACCCCGGTCATCATAGCAAAGCCCTGTGAAGCGCTTCGAGATGTCCTCCCCGATCTGAAAGCCTAGGATTATTATTATTGTTTAGTATTAAATAAAATACCAACGCGGTCACTCGATCCACGACGGTTTGTGGGACACGGCCGCCGCGCTTCGCTCACAAAATACACAATCACCACATCTCTACGGTATTTGAGACATCTGAACAGCATTATAAGGCGCTATATCAAATGCAAGGATTATTATTATGATGATTAGATCGCACAAAAACTGGCACGCGGTGCCAATTGTGATCATCTGTTCGCTTCTGGTCCCGAATATTTATCTGCCAGCGTGTTTCATTTCTGCTCTAACCCCCATGGACCCCACATTGTCACACTGTAATGAAAGCTTCCACAGCCGTGATCTTAATCAGACAGCCTCACACCCACTGTTTGGCTGTGAGCATTTCACCCCATCACTGGGACTGAGTCTCCACCTTGCCTCCTGTTCTTTACTTACTAATACATTCGGGCCTTGGGCACTTGGACTAAGCATCGCAGGCAGATGAACGATTACCTTGAAGTCGCATTCAATTACCTTTTATCACATGCACACAGACGCATCCCCACCGCCAAAAGGAAACACCCTCCGCACCCCCCACCCAGAAAAATAAAACGATTGTTCAGTGCCTTGGTATATCCTCCCAATGTGAGAAGCGCTGTGTACACGTAAATGTGTCTTGTCTTGTATTGTTGGTGCGGATCCATGACTGTCCAGCGCCTTGGGACGTCCTCCTGATGTGAAAGGCGCTGTACACGTGTAATTTGTCGTCGTTGTTGTTGTTGTTGTTCTAAAACCCACGTCAGCAAAGCCCTCGACGAGGTGCCATGTTGGAAGCTTTTTATCTCATTCCCACTCCCGTGCCTTTCCGCCGTTAACAATCGTGAGAAAAACACAGACCCCCCTCGACGGCCGATAATTCTTCTGCAGATTATTATTTTTTAATTTTTTTTCGACTTTTATGTAAACATTGTTTGATAGGCACAAGATAACAAAAGCACTAATGCAAACCAACGCAGCAAATTAACGAGAACACATACCTCCATTCACATTAGTCAGGCTCGCTCGGGGCTAAATAAATAGGTCTAAACTCACCTTTAATTTAGTCTTTAGTAAGGCAAATTCATAAAAAGCGGGCTTTCGGTCACGTCGGCTGACGACAGGTACACGTGTCAAATACTGTACGGAACGTTTATATATTAAACTGTCTGCTGGTCAGTGATGTGTATTATAATAAATACAGGCACTAACGGGTAGGAGAGAACCAGTCATGGCAAGTCATGCAGGGAGAGAGGTAAGGAGGGAGGTAAGGAGGGAGGGAGGGAGAGAGAGAGAGAGAGAGAGAGATGGGTAACGGGAAAAGGAGGGAGAGAGAAAGCGAGGGAAGAGGAGAGAAGGGGAGAGGGGAAAGAGAGGGGAGAGATTGGGTGAGAGAGAGCGAGGGAGGAAGAGGAGGGTGGGAGAGTGAGAGGAGGGAGGAAGAGAAGAGAGGGAGAGGAAGGGGGAGAGAGAGAGAGAGAGAGAGAGAGAGAGGAAGGAGGAAGGGAGAAATGAACTGGACCGGAGCGGAATGGAAATGGATTCGGGGAAATACTGATCGAAGCAATAAACTCACGATTAACGACTGTTCTCACTTCAGAAACGAGGGCAAGCGTACACTATGGTTCTCCTGTCGAGGGTGGTGGGGGAAGGGGGAGGGGGGGGGGTGCGGGTGGGGGGGGGGTGGGGAGGTGGGAATCCGAACACTGAACACGAAATCATAATACTGCACTGGATGGAGAGGGGAGTGTATGGCACTTTAGTCAATCAGACAACTAAGGTTCGACAGCATAGCTTGGCTTGGCTCACTGCAAAACAAACACACGCACGCGCACATACACACACACACATACACGCACACACTGGACTACAGCATTTGTTCACTGGTGCACTGGGGGGCGGGGGGGGGGGGATTGGGGGGATGGGGCAGAGCGCCAATCCTCATTTCGGCCACGCAAGGCAAAGCGCCCGTTGGTCGGCGGGATTCGGTGCGAGCGGTTACTGGATGAAGGGCGTGCGCTCTTTGCTGCCGTTGTCTCCCTCGTGCTCCTCCTCTTCCTCTCCCGCCTCGCTGGTCTCCGTGCTGTCATTTGCCATCTGTGGTCGGGGAGTGGGTGTGGTGGGGTGGGGGGGGGGGGGTGTGGGGTGGGGGGAGACAAATGGAAACAAAAACAATACAATGCTTTCAATGCCAATAATCGCAGCGGGTTCAACAACAACGTCGACGACGACAAATGACACTTACACAGCACCTTTCACGTCAAGAGGACTTCCCGAGGTGCTGAACAGTTAAGGGTTTGCCCCTGAGCTGGGGGTTGGAATCAAGAGGGTGTGGGAGGGTAAGGGGAGATGGGGTGGGGGTGGGAGTGTCCCCAAAGTCAAAGGGGAAGGTCTTGAGACGGGCCTTGAAGTAGAGGCGAGGCAGAGGGATTTGTGTCCTTGTGTTTACACAGCGCCTTTCCCGTACACGTACCGTCTCGCAGGGCTTCACAGAGACCCCGAGCCGAGAGAGTGGGAGTTTGGGGCGGCGTGGTGGGGGGGTGGGGGAGGCGAAAGGGATAAAAAGCGTTGATTTGCTCCCAGGGCTCTCTCCCCGGCACATCAAAACCTCGGAACAACAGTCCATTTCACCAGCTCAGTGGAACTAATCGCTCCTGTCAACAGCTCTTAAGTTACATGTTCCTGTAAGATGTTTCATTGATTTTCTTCACTGGCCTCATAACTAGTGACTGGAGGAGTTCAATTCTCCGAGGGAATGAAAGCACTCACAAGGGGAGTTGGAGTTTTCTCGACGTCCAGGATCAGCTTTCCTATGTTCCCTCGGTCATGGATCCTCTGCATGGCTTCCTTCACCTGTAACCAGTGCGGATAAACTTGTGTCATCAGCGGAGCAATAATAATAATAATAATCCTTGCATTTGATATAGCGCCTTATCACATCCTTAAGTCGTCCCGAAGTGCTTCATTGAATATACTGTAAAGTGTGTATTTTGTGGGCGAAACGCAGCAGTCAATTGCACACAGTAGTGTTCCACAAACAGTCATGGATTGAGTGACCAATTATTTTGTGGGAAGAGATTATTATCCCCGGAACGTGATCCACCAATCGACTAACAACCGGGTTCCCACTTACTGCTAAGCAAACAGAGACGTGTGTGTAGAATAAGGAAACTTGCCTAAGGTTTTTCCCCGCCCTGGAATCGAACCCGGGACCTCTCGCGTAAGAAGCAAGTGCCCTAACCACTGAGCTACAGGACTCCATGACTTTCAAGCAACTTCCCAAACACTAATCGGAGAGTTGGAAAAAATACCAGAGTCAATGAGGGGAACTTGAATGCGGTATTTCAGAGTTATTTTAAGATCGGTTGGGGTTAATGAAGTCCCTTAGGCCCATCTGATCTCATCGTTCCAGAACACTTGCCCTATCGTACTTCCCCCACCCCACCCCCCACCCCCACCATGGAGCTGTTTTTTCCCGATGAGTCCCAGAGTCCTGGCCTCAACCACCCTTGGCAGCCCTCCCATTCCAGCCATTAATTACCCTCTCGGGAAAAGAAAAGCTGCAGATAAAATTGGTGTTCGCTTCTACACTTTGGCGGCAACTGTCCTTTGAGACATTTTTTCGACGTGGTGGGGACTATATTAAATGTAAGTAATGTTATTATTATTAAATTCCACACCTCTCAATGAGTGACTGCGCGTGCGTGTGTGCTGGGCTTTAATAACCCACTTTAACATGAAAGTAAAAGGCTGCGATCAGCACTGCCCCGTGAAGCTGAGACGACCTTTTCAAAGTCTCTGTTAACTCTGAAACCTTTAATGCGGCATCTAATCATCTAATTATCTCGGCCGACCGGGAGAACGTTCAAATATGCAGCAGCTACTTGTCGGATACAATGCCCCCCCCCCACCCCACCACCACCTCTTCCACCTCCAGCCCCCACCCTCAACAAGACCAATTGTTGTAGCATCCAGAATGAGCTGAGCACAAAGGGAGTCCTTGTCAGCACGAAGCACAATTGACCTTTTGTTCCCGAGCCACAATTAAGGACCGCTCGCACTAACAATTGGCAAGTAGGACATCTGTCACACTTATCATTAAAAATATTATTTCAAAAATAAGCTGATAGGTGAGTAGAGAAGCACAGGGGATCTGTGCGTGTGCCTGAGCTCTGGGTACGTATTTCTGTGTGTGTGTGCGTGTGCGTTTGTATTCTTCTGTGTGTTTCCATTGTGCGCGCGTTGCTATATGTTTGCGCGTGTCTTCGTGTCTGAGGGGAGAGAAAAATTAAACCAGCTATGAAAATTAATTCCTACAGAAAGAGAAAAGGAACCCGACAATCCGATACCTGTTAGTGTGCGGCTAAAGGCATGCGGGGAAATCAGCGAGTGGCCACCTCTGACTCACTCACTGAGCAATTCATGTCACGGTCACGAAAATCGGCTACGGGAAACACTCAACAAGGAGCCGCTGTTGGTGACAGGGGTTTGTCAGACCAGGCGTTCGCTCAGGTGACGTGTGGAAGTCAACGCGGTGACAGAGAACGATAAAGCCCCAGGACTGTACGTCCTACAGCTCATTCAAGTCGCTATCCATGTCAGGTCTCAGCCTGGCTCTGCTGCTCACTCTCTCGCTCTCTCCCTCTCTCACTCCTGGCTCAGAACAGCAACGGAGGGACAGAGGGACAAGGTGGGGTGTTGTGAAATTTATTCCTGCTTCCTTTGCAGCCTTTGCAAATCACCGCCATGCCTTGTTAACAAGGTTCAGCCTGCGTTCCCAACGGCGGATTGCTTCTCTGTCTCACATTTTCAAACTGGGAGCCAGATCTTCATGGCAACAAGGTCAAAACACATCCTACTGCATTAACTGCGTCTCGGCAAGCCAGCCCGTCTTAAATGGAGGGGGGAAAAGAGTGGGGAGGTCATCTTAAAGGGTCAAAGCCTTTGTGGAAAAAAAAATACAAATCCTTTTGCTTGCTATCTTGCTTTCGGTGATGGGAATTACTGTGAAATGTAGTGACTGTGTGTTTTGTAGGCAAAACGCAGCAGCACAATGGCCTACACCAGTGTCCCGTAAACAGGCATGGAGCGAGGCACCAATTTTTATTTGGGGGAATGTCGGCCAGGACACCGGGAGAGAGAGAAACTCTCTTCTCTTTTCAAATAGCGCCGCGAGATCTTCGAACGCTCACTCGGACGGGCAGACGGGACCTCGGTTCAACGTCTCATCCAAAGGACGGCACCTCGGACAATGCAACACCCCCCCCACCCAGGATAGATATGAGACGTATTTGGATGGGTCACTTGTAGCAAGTGACCAACAACAACAACAAAATTACATTTGTAAAGCGCCTTTCACGTCGGGAGGAGTTCACATTCCCGGCAGGGGGTGAAACCTTGGGCAAGTTTCCTTACTCCACACCCCTGATAAAAATCCCTCAAAAAAAACCAATAATAAAATTGGTCACTTCAATCCATGACTGTTTGTGAGACGCCGCTGTACGCAATTGGCTGCCGCGTTTCACCCACAAAATATAGTCTAATTCTGTGAAGCGCTTTGAGACGTTGAGAAGACGTGAAAAGCGCTGCATCAAATGCAAGGGTAAGGATTATTATTTATTTATAACCATGGAGGGGGGGGGGGGAGTAGGGGGGGAATGGCTTATACACACAACTCTCTGGCGAGAGAGTGGGTGCAGACATGATGGGATGGATGGCTCACGCTCATCCAGTGATCGACAGTGACCCGGAGGACGGTCCCTTTGTCAGTAACGAGCACCGACTGCCATGGAAACAGTAGTCCTGACAACCGCTCCGACATCAGCATCTCCAGCTTGTCCCGGGGACAAAGCCAGCGATGATTAAGCCCAATGTGCCTGGGTCTGGTCTGGGTCTCTCTCCCAGGCTCACCATCCCGTTGAGACCCGTTCACAGGGGCCGATCGCACTAAAACAACAAGGCTTCCCTTAAAATAAACCATCGAAGCGCTCTTCATTCCAGCACTTTCTACAGAGGAATGTAGTAATAATGATAAAACCGGGAAATATATCGATCCACAAATTGAATGCGAGCGGCGTGTAACAGTGTAAAATAAACATAGTTCTTATCATCATCGCTGCGACTGGGACTGTTAATAAGACTATTCAGAAACGACTTGACAAAATACCCGGTGAACAAAATATTAACAACAAAAAATATAAAGCAGCTATTTTAGGAAGCTGAAATATATTAAGAAAAGCAACATCCATTCAGATGTAACGTGGCAGTGTTACCTTGGTCTGGCTGACCATCACTGCAAACCACTTAGAAACTACCTCTAAAGGAGTGATTCAAACTGTAATGATATCAATGATAATAATAATCATCATCCTTGCATTTGATACAGTGCCTTTCACTTCGAGAGGTGCTCGACACTGCTGGCTGGACAACAACAAAGCTGTGCTGGTTTATAAGCAAGAATGTGTGTGTATGTGGGGGGGGGGGTGGGGGGGCGCGGAGGGTGGGTGGGGGGCCGTTAGGCTCAATGCCCACCCGCCCATGGTGAAACCCGGAGATTACGAGGGGGAACAGAATGTGGGGTTGGAACAGATTTCTCCTTCATATGAAATAGCACATCGTTCACAAAGCCCAGTTATGTCGGCTCCAGGGCTCTTTTTATTTTTTTTTTGAGAGGGAAGAGAGGAGGGGAAATGGTTCCCGGTTTGGGGGCTGAGTGGGGGGAGAGCGTGCGGGCTCGGCCACCAACGGCCTGCTCTGTAAACAGCGCACACACTCAGCGCTGATCAGAGACAGCAGGGTGCTGCGTAACCAGGCAACCTCTAACGCGCTCTCTCTCTCTCTCTCTCTCTGTCTCTCCTCAGCACGTCACCTTCAGCCACTTTGTCTCGGGCCAGGCCAACGGTGCTGAGTCAGCGCCGCGCAGGTTGCTGACTCATGGCTGACATACGGACTCAAAGCGGCTGGCCGGCGTGTGCGTGCGCGCGCGCGCGTGCGTGCGTGTGTGCGCGACTCCACACCGTGAGTGTCAGCAGGGATCTGAGCAGGTGGGTGGCGGAGGGGAGCGGGGGGGAAATTGTGGGGAGGGGGGAGAAGAGGGTAGCAAGACAGCTGATCTCCTCCCCACACCCCACACCCGACACCCCCGGAATTCTGTTCTCACTCCCCCACCCGGAAGGAAAGAGCTCCCCACTTTGTCCTGTGAAAAAAAGCCCAGTATTTGCCCCCCGAATATTAAAGAGCCACAAGATAAAGAGTTAATTATGGTCGTAGCTTCGCCTTCAAAACACACAGTCACCACACATCTCGGTAAATGGCGAGAAGCGCTTTGAGACATGGTCTCGATGACCTGATAAGGCTCAACACAGGCGAGGATTATTATCATTGAAAGAAAGGAGACAAAACGAGATGAAAGAAAAAAGAAAAAAGAGACAGAGAGCCGGGGCCTGTAGCAGACACGGTGAACCGTTTACTCCGGACACTTAATGAGGCTGCTTCGTGCATCAATAGATTTTTTAGGCTTCGTAGTAACAATGATTACCTCTACGTTTCCTGACATCTGGCTGGTATGTAGGACCACAGAGTGACTGCCGTCAGAGAACGTGTCAGAGAATCATGTCTCGCTTACCAGGACTCTGTATCTAACATTTTGCCCTCACCAACACGACCCATCATTCGTCCTTCCTGCCTAATCCGCCCGCACGTTCACACACCTCACCAACAACAGCAACAATAAGAGTGTGGTGACTGTGTGTGTTGCAGGTGAAACACAAGCAATCAATTTAGCGCACAGTGATGTCCCCACAAACAGCGTACGACCAATTTTGTAAGGGGAGAGGGGAATTATTGGCCTGGGCATTTTCGAATAACTCCATTAAAATCTTTAACAGTTTAACGGCTCAACGTCTCATCTGGTAAAGAATGGAGAGCGCAGACCAGTTGGGCTGAATTGCCTGTTCGTGGGCTGTATGTAATTCTGTGCAGAATTCTGTCTCTTTCTCTCCTCGATCCATGTTGAGATCCAGTCCACACAGCAAGTTCCCTCTCCGTCGCCAACTGGGAGACCATAAGGTCCATCTGGCCTGGGCTCAAACCGCTGTTAAACATGTGCTTTTTCAAATATTTCCATGTCAAATTCCAATTCAAAGCACAATACTGCTTTGAAATGGGAGCACAATTAACACTGATTCTGGGATCTCACTCAAGCAGAATACAAGTGCGGAGAGTTAACAAGCAAACGAGACATGATTCGAAAAGAGGCGTGGGAGAGAGATTGAGCATTCAGTGCTTAAAGGACCGCGATCTCATTACACTCTGGCCAAGTCACCATAGAGTGGGGAGGGAGATGTTCTTGTTTGGGGCGGGGAGAGGTGGGAAATATTTTCTTTGACGGAAATGTTAAATGCGTTCGCTCTCTTATCTTTACGTTAATGGGGGGCTGGCCATGTTTTGACAGATGATTCTCCAGAAACTTCTGCATTTGTTCTAACTTGATTTGTTCAACTTAACATTTAAATTAAGAAATGAAAGCTTTACAATGTGGCCCCGCCGTGCGTTAAGTCAACGTTAAGCAAAAGCAGCAAAGGGAGAGGTCAGGGGGACTTTCTTCACACAAAGCAGCAGCAGCAGCAACTTGCACTTATAGTAACAATAATTCCTTACATTTGATACGGTGCCTTTCATGTCAGGAGGACGTCTCAAAGGGCCTGATGGGACATACTGCAAAGTGAAGTGACTGCGTATATTGTGGGTGAAACGCGGCAGCCAATTTGTATACAGCGACTTCCCCCACAAACAGCCATAAAGTGAAGCACCGATTTTATTTGGTGGGATTGTCGTCCCAGACACCAGGAGAGAGAGAGAAATTCCCTTCTCTTCTCCAATAGTGCCATGGAATCTTGGTTTAATGTCTCGTCTGAAGGACGGATCTCGGACAAGGCAGTGCCCCCCCCCCCAGCACCGCATTGGAGTGTCAGCCTAGAGTGGGAATTCAATGTCCCGACGTGGAGGTTTGATTACACAACCCTTCTGACTCAGAAGCGAAAGAACGAGCGACTAAGCCAGGCTGCCAACGTTGCTGCTCACGGCAGAAGAGAAAGATCAGCGATATTTGCAAGACACTAACTTTGGTTTCTTTGAGTTCAGACCCCAGTGGGAGCTGATGCAGAGCACAAATGTCACCACAAATCATTATTAATTGGCATTTTATTGACTTGGTAAAAGCCGTGAAGATGAGCAGCATGACAATTGGAAATCTCTTATTAATGTTCCTTCCAACGTTGATGGTGTTGGTGGTGGTGATGGATCTTATCAAGTCTCTGGAGATGGGACCTTTGGCTTGCCTTTGACCCATTTTGTAGCTGCCCTGATAGGGAGTGTCTGATGCCATTAGGTGGGAAAACATAGAAACAAAATAGATTTCCCAGTACGGACATCTCCCCACTTGATGAGCACAAAGTTCATCAATATTTGTTTTTGTGCCAGTTTGGGAGGGGGAAAGAGAGGGAGTGGGAGGGGGGAAGGGGAAGTCAAGTAACGGACACCAGAGGAAGTGTTTCCAAACATTGAGACAGGTCTGATCTTGGGAACGATTTGATTAGTAGACATCAATGGATTTGGCGAGCGATGTGAAGGAAGCAACGTGGAAACCCATTAAGATCAAAGACAAAAATGAAAGGGAACTCGAGGCCGTGAATGAGATTTTTGTGCTGAGAAGGCACACTGTGTTGACATGAATTGAGAGGATGAAGATAATGCAATCAACATTCCACGTCCTGACCCTCAGAGAGCAACTGATAAGGTCCCTGTCACAATACATGGCCAAGTTGAGGCTTGATGTGATCAAGGATCAATCTATTAATTGGTTTGAAAGTCAGCTTGGCAGTAGAGGCTAGACTCATTAAAAGCGGGATTTGCTTTGAGCCGGGCATACCAATGTGCAATGGAGTCACCGAGAGCCACACTCCTAGGACTCTGTGCTGTTTCACAGTGTTTATTAATCACCTTGACTCACAAAATTTAGCCGCCTCAGCTTGCCAGCAAGAGCGTTGTGCATCAAAAAGGCACGTCATGACAGGGACAGTGTGAATGTTTGGCCAACAAAATACACAATCCATCCACTCTGCAATGTATTCTGTGAAGTGCGTTGAGCGTATCAAATGCAAGGATTATTATTATCATTCTTAATATATTCACTAAGAAATGGTTGGGGGAGAAGGTGGGATTGGGGGGGTGGGGGTGTGTGAAATTCAGTGGCAGGAAGAGGGTTGTGAAGGGCAATTTCATAACAGAAACCAGGAAGTATTCCTTCACACAGATGGTAATGAACAGGTGGAACCAGGAAGGGTGGTTGAGGCCAGAACACTGGGACTCATTCAAGGAATGGCTAGATGGGAGATGGTAGGGCAGGTGTTCGGAGAAAATGGGATCTAATTGGGCCAAATCTTTTAATCCCAATGGCCTTGCTTACCCCATACCTTTTTCAGCGACAACAGTTTACATTTATCCAGCGCCTTTCTTGGGAGCATGTGCCAGAGTTTCACACAGCGGACTGCGAGTCTAGGTTGGGGAGCGGAATTGGGGGGGGGGGGAGAAAGGGAGATGAGGAAGGATGGGAGTGGGCAGGAGGTGACCGGACCGGACCCGTAGTCAAAAAAGATAAGTGTTAAGGTGGGCTTCAAAGGTAGAGGCAGGAGGGAGAGAGGAGGGATTCCTTGATGCATGAAAGGGGTTGTATATAAGCACAAATTGTTGCCTTGCTGAGGCAGTGGTGTTTAACACAGTTCCTGCTAAATATAGAGGGATTTATGTACAATGCCAGTCAAGTTGCTGACTCACAGTTTCCAATCAGTGATTTCAGTAACAAACCACTTTCAGCTGGCTGCCAAGCCAACGTACCACATTACAGGCTGGGCTGTGAGCAGACGGGAGGAAATGGCTGTTTGACGGTGAAAATCTATAGGTGGGAATGAAGATGTCAGTCGTGGGGGAGAGCTGAGCAAAGCTCTGCAGATATAAATAAGTGCCTCGGTACAGGTTTCAATGGCTAAACTGCGGTAAATAGATCGTGCCATATAATTGCCCAAATTACGCCAATGGATGACTCATGTAACTCAACCCAACCCAAACCCCAAACCACCCGTTTTCGACTTTTCTAAATTATGCCATTTCTGCACAGATTCCGTGTTTTCAAACTGGGGGCCCAGTTTGCAACATTGACAATGGGATGGGAAGTGGGAAGTGCTAAGTTGAGCCTAGACTGTCAGTACCAAGGCCCAACGCGGGGGCTTGAACCCACAACCTTCTGACTCAAAAGTGAGGGCACTACCGACTGAGCCAGGCCGACAAAAGAGAGTGAACGGGATATTTGTGAGTTGGTTTCTCGTGTGTAAACGGTAGCCCACTTGAAGATTCCCCTCTCCCCCTCCCTCACCCCCTGCCAGCCCCACACACAGCAAACCCTGACCTGGTTTAATGACAAGAAGACAAGTTTCCTTTACCTCCTCCAGGGCCCACAGAGAATCCACCAAAGGTTTGATCTTCTTCTGGCTGTAAAGTGCTAACAGCTTGTCCATCACCGCTCTGACCTGGTCGCTCCGGCTCTGCTTGAAGAGAAGATTGAGGAGCGAGAATCCAGCCATGACTTTGTTCTCTTCATAAAGTTTGATGGGATTCACCTTCTCAACCTGCCACCACTGCGGAGAGATACACAAGCTACCTTTAATTTCCTCTGCGTATCCTCTCTCCCTCCCTAACCCCACTCTATCCCCCCTCCCTCCCCACTGAGATCTGATAACCACACGCACAGTGAGGTTCACACCCCCTCACCTTCCTGCTCTGAAAGGCTCCAGTGACACACTGAAACCCTCAAGAGAATGAGCCAAGATGTTTACTAATGCATCAATTTGGGTTGTTATTGATAATGAAACTCCAATAAGATACAAGTGGGAAACAAAAGGACTAAAATAATTGCACTGAGTCGATGCATGGCCATGAACTCGCGAGCTCCTGCGATGTCTCCACGGCAGTTCTCTACGCACTGGTTAACATGTCAGGCTCCTCATACAATGACCCAATGATAGCCTTATCCCCGGCATTTACTTTCCAATTCCACCGATACTCAACGGCATCAGACAAAGCCAGGCTCTCTCCGCAGCCGGCTCGATTGTAAAAGTCATATTGCTCGGGTTATAATAGAAACCACCTTTGTGCTCTCTGAGGTAACGATGGCAAATCTTTAGCGACACCATTGTGACTGCTTAACTCGCTATTGTTCTACCCATCCACCCCCAACATGCATTAGTTTCTAAGCCCTCTTGACGTGAAAGGCTCTCTATCAAATACAAGCAATATTGTTATCACTGACGTGCCAGCGCATCAGGTGACGCAGACAAACCTTCTAAGCGTGGGAGGCTCTTCAGTGCTTTGGAATAAGGGAGCTAAACCGTTAACGTTTCACCGCCCGGTGGAATAAGAAAACGTCACGAGAGCCGAGTTACATTTATTTTCTGTTTCCTTACGACCGACAAAGCTTTAAACAACGGGCACAAGCCCGGATAGGCCAGCGATTTTGGAGCAAGCCGACACGCACGTAAACTGCCGTGCGATTTTTTTTTCCTCGGTTTACTTACCGATTTGGCAAAGCTGAAGAAGCTTTTCGTTTCCCCGGTAACCATATTTGATGAGCCTGGAAGTTTAGCGAACACGGTGGTTACGGAAGTCGCGTAAATTATTTTGTCGCATATATAACGGCGGAAGAAGAAAAAAAATAACATTTATCGTTTGATTGATTCCGTGCCTCGCCAGCGGGAGCCGGCGACACTCGGTTACACCGGGACATACCGTACAGAATGTAAGTTCCAAGAGGTTTCAGGAGCCCCAGGCCTTTGCCAGTGTTTTCACCGCACAGGCAATCCAGGACAATGTCCACGCCATCCGGTGAGACTCTGGAACACAAGCAAAAGCTTACTGTAGCTACAAACAACAACAACAATTTGCACTTATGTCGCGCCCTCCACACAGGGTGGCGTCACAGAGCGCTTAACGGTGGCGGAGTCTGACTCCGAGCCAAGCTGAACGGCAAAACAACGAAGCATTTGTGTAGCACCTTTCACGTGGGGCCCTCAGCAACACTCTCACTCCATCCCTCCGCCTTGCCCCCCTCCTTCCCCATCTTCAGGTCACGCCTGAAATCCTTCCTCTTCGACCGTGCCTACGGTCACTTCCCCCTCCCCCTGGGCTCAGCCTCACGCTCCACCACTCTCCGGCCTCCTGCTCATCCCCCGTACCCTCCACTCCCCCATGAGCGGCCGTGGTTTCAGCCGCTATGCCCCGAAGCTTTGGAACTCTCTCTCCCTCAATCCCTCCATCCTGCGTGTAGGGCGCTATACGAATGCAAATTGGTGTTGTTGTTGTTGCTTCTCCCTGTGCTCTGTGCACACTGGGGAGTAGCCTGACCCCAGCCCCACGCAGTGGGGAGTAGGGTATCAGGGTATCTCTGTGAACGAGCTCAGCTGGTTTGGGCACCCTCTCCTGCGTCCCCTTTGTTCAATTTCAAGAAGCACGCAGTGAACAGGATTACGAGGCCGAAATTCATTTTTAACAGATTTCTGGAGGGAAAATTAACACACGCTAATCCCATTAAAGCTTGGCGAGTCTGAAAAGCAAACACACAAATGCTGCGAGTCTGAAATAAACCCAGAAGGCGCGGGATCGTCAATTCGCTGGTCTCCTGCGGGGGATAAATTGGTCTCGGAATAAAACAATTCTCCGCGTCAGGGAGGGGAAAATCAGCCAGGGTTCCTGCTCCCGGTCTCTCAACAGCACCCACCTCTGGTCGTGCGTGTGTGTCTGCGGCAGGCAGGTGAGGAGAGGCCAGGGATTCTTCCCACTCAGCTCCTGTTAAACTCTACAAGCCTGACAGGTCGGGTGAAGCAGCCTGAACAAGCAGGGGAAAAGCCTGCCAGACAGCGCTCTCCATAGGCAAGCTGTTCAGTTACTCCCAAATGCAAATGCTGGGGTGTACCCCTCGCCCAGGTGAGCTGAGAGCATCCCTCCAGAGAGAGAGATAAGAGAGAGAGAGTGCACATCCCATTCCTGACGCATTTCATCGAAAATTCCCCCACGCAGACGTGGAACTCTCACTAGTTTGGTTTGAAGAGGCCCTGAGCGTGGGGATGGGAACCCACATGCGTCAGGCAACGGGCTGGCCGGCAGGGGGGGGGGGGGGGGGAAATCAAGTGCTTTTTGATGTAATGCTTCTTCCGTTAATTCCGTGAGGAATTTTCTCCGAGATGCCCTGAGGCAGTCACGCACTGGTTCAGCGCTGGCTAATCTGGAGGAAGGTCGTTCCCCTTTGGCCCTCGTTTCCCTGCTCCTTTAATCAAACACAATGAACTTTTCGGGGTCAACTTAAAAGCCGTCCCTTTCACCAGCTTTCGGGCACTATCCCCGCCCACTCTCACTTCCAAATCCCTCCATGTTACTCTCTTCCCTCACTGCTTTCAACCCATGTCTGCTCCCCATTTCTTCGACTGGGACTCTGGCCATTTTCCCCTCCCTCCTCTCCTCTCCTCTCCTCTCCTCCCTCCCAGCTCGGGCTCCCACTGCGACTGGGCAGGAACAACTGAGCTCTGAGACATTCCCCCAACCCACACCCTCCCCCACTCCCCACACACACACACACCCGTGAAAGACCCTGCATGAGTGCGACTTGTTGTTAAACTCAAAGGCATCACAAAAGGCCTGAATACAGACAGAAAACTGGAAAGAACGAGAGAGACTGGTGGCTTCTTTGTAAATGAAAGAGAGATGGACTGGCAGATTGTCAGACCTCACTCTGTGCGTCGTGATGGTGGGGGATGGGAGTGGGGGCGTTGGATGAAATAGCTTGTGATGGATGGATGGAGAGTTGGGCATATGACCCAGAAACACAACGTTACCAGGTCCGACCCAGCACTTTGATGTGCCATCCTTTCATCGGTTTAATTGGCTTCTCCTTACAGCTTACGTGTATTGTATCTTTCGTCCACAAGCGCATGAAACATTACGGGCTTTTTTTTTGTCCCTCAAGCTGGTTTGTCGAGCAGTGGGAAGGGAGGGGGAGGAGAAGGGGATGTGGGTGGGAGAAATAAGTCTTTGAAAACAAAATAGACGTCAAAATGCTGAGTGTGTTCACACGGCTTGGAGCTAAGTGAAGAATGGGCAAATCGGCTTTGTACAACAACTTGCAGTTACACAGCGCCCTTCACGTCTCGGAGCACTGCAGAGGAAAGGGAGAGGTTGGATACCGAGCAAAGGAGAGAGAGAGAGAGAGGGAGAGAGAGAGCGAGAGAGAGAGGTCTCACAAGAGAATGACAAAGGCTAAGAACAGATGGAAGTCGGGTGCCTAGTGAAAATATCAGCCTGGACCGAAATCCCCATCCCCATCACCCCCATGTGTTTTGTATTCAATGAAGCACTGACTCATACCCCGCACATCATGTCGTCACTGCCCCTCCTCCCTCCGCCGCAACACCCGATTGACCTCCTGCTGCGCTACGAACATCCCACCATTTTCCCTTTCACCAACTTACTTTTTCACCTCCTGCACATAGTCTGCGTTCCTGTCGATGAGGTGGGTGATGGAGTCTTTGATGGCTTCGTGCTTGAAGGAAGAGGCTGTACCGAACACGGTCACATCGGGGATGGTGGAGCACAGCTGGGCGACTGCCTGACCCTGGCATGATACGAAACACCGATGCTGCGTTTAGTTTCCCCGCGGACACGAACAAAACTGATAATAATAATAATAATCCTCGCACTTGATACAGAGGCTTAGCCCCCAGGGTTTGGGAATAGCCGTTTGGGATGCAAATATAATTATTAAAAATAATAATAATCCTGGCATTTGATACAGCGCCTTATCACGTCTTCGTGACGTTTCAAAGCGCTTCACGGGATACACTGTAAAGTGAATTGACTGTGTATTTTGTGGGCGAAATGTGAAAAAGGGGGGGGTGGGGGAAGAGGAAAGGATCAAGCCATACATTGAGAGAGAGAGAAAGAAAAAGAGAGAGAGAAAGAGAGAAAGAAAGAAAGAAAGAAAGAAAGGGGGAGAGAAAGGGGGAGAGAAAAGGGGAGAGAAAGGGGGAGAGGTAGGGAGAAATAAATTGGACATGAACATGTAAAAGTATCAGAAACTATATATAAAAAAACATATTATAATAATAATAATCCTTGCATTTGATATAGCGCTTTTCACGTTGGGAGGACGTCCCAATGCGCTTCACAGAACACACTGTAAAGTGAATTGACTGTATATTTGTGGGCGAACGCGGCAGCCAATTGCGCACAGCAATGTCCCACAAACAGTCGTGGATTGAAAATGACCAATTTATTATTGTTTTTGGTTTTTGGAGGGATTATTATTCCCCACATAGCTTGTGGTAGTCATTGCAAAGGTGAGGGAATTGCAGGCAGTACGGACCACTTAATCTTCAAAGTGCAGCGAGTGAGGAGAGATTAGACGAGGTGTCGCTCGGAGCCAGCGTTGCCAAGTTGCAGAGATGAATTTTAATCAGATTATTAGTCAAAGCGAAGCCTGATCGCTCCTCTCCCCCCCGCCCCCCCCCACTCCGCACCTCCACACCCCACACGGGCCCCAGGGTGGGCTGTGTGACAGCCACACGGCACTTGCTACACACTGCCGGTGCTTGACGTTACGAAGCACTCTCGCCTCTCAATCAGAAGGTTGAGGGTTCGAGCCCCACGGCAGGATTTTGAACTCGCACAAGCGCGCAGTTGCTACCGTCTGGAATTCACTGCCTGGACGGGCGGTGGAAGCAGATTCAATAATAACTTTCAAACGGGCATTGGATATAGACTTGAAAAGGAAAAACATTTGCAGGTCTACAGGGAAAGTGCGGGGGAGTGGGACTAGTTGGATAGTTATTTCAAAGAGACTGCACGGGTCCAGGTATGATGGGCCGAATGGCCTCCCTCTGCGATGTATGATTCTAGGATTGTATGATTCGGAAACCGGCACGTGTGGAACAACCTGAAAACGCTTGAAAATGAAAGTCATTGTAGGTGAGGGCGGTGGGGGGAGAAAAAAAATGAAAATCCATATGTGACTACACAGTGAGCTAAGAATAGAAGCAAAACAGACCAACAGGAGACAGTGGCGGAAACAAGTGAGCTTGCTCAGGGCTTTGGCTATAATTAAAATTTAAACTCAAAGGGAGGAAGAGGGAGAGAACGAGAGAGAGAGAGAAAGTTGGCCCCAGCAAGCTCCCCAAAGAGATGGAAACAGAATGAATCACTGAATTCAAAAGCCAAGCAAAACGGAGAAATTAACATAAAACAAAAGGCAAAATCCAGCAGAGGCTGGAAAGCTGAAATAAAAACAGAAGTCACTGGGAGCCCTTGGCAGGTCAGGCAGCATCTACGGAGAGAGGAAAGCGTTGTTAACGTTTAAGTGAGAATTGTAATCGACCTGAAACGTTAACTCACTTTCCTCTCTCCTGACCGGCTGAGTGTTCCCAGGCACTTCTGGGGGAAATTAACATTTCGCACGGCAAACCTCACAATTAATACAGCGGAATCCAAAACACGGCAGAGAATTCAAGAGAACAGCCCAAACCGAAGAGTTGAGGGAAGCATTAATTAATCACAGCGAGGGTCAGTAAATGGCACAGAGCACGGCTCACCCCTCTTCTCCTGAACCCCAACTTTCTCGTGGTCTTAGCCCTCAAGGAATCTCAAGAGCGCGCAGAATTTTGGAAGTTCTTCAGTTCAGTCTCAATTTGGAAACCACCACTTGAAGGTGGGTTTCCCAAACTAAAACCGAAATTAAGATTTAAAAACATTAGTCACTCCACTTTACAGTGTATCCCGTGAAGCGCTTTGAGACGTCTCAACAACGTGATAAGGCGCCGTATCGAATGCGAGGATTATTATGAGTATCTTTTTGTCTGAAACAGTACAATATCATGGGACTGTTCAAAACCATCCAAATCATTTTTTTTGCCCGCGAAACATTTTTTTTCCCGCAGTTCTTGAAAAGAAAGCAGTTTCCAAAATGATGGCTGGGTTCGAAAAACGGTCTTGAGGTGAAGACTGGGTGGAATATTTGGGACTTGGATACAAAGGACCTGTTTCTTTGCCGTACCACTGCGTGCAACAAGAAGCCACAAGAGGTCCTTAATTTGTGCTGAAATATCTGCAATCAATTTTCAACAGAGAGCGAACGGCCTATCGGGGGGATACAAATATTTTGACAGGAACCAACCGAACGCTGCAATTAAATCCAAAGTCAACAAGACTGAAAATGAGACGAATTAGAAGGAATCATCAGCTGTAATTACCACTCCTCCGCCCGCGGAGTGAACCAGCACAGACATGCCTTCCCGGAGGTTTGCCACTTCGAAGAGCATCATGTAAGCGGTCACGAAGTTCATGGGGAAGGCCGCTGCCTCCGGGTACCCCATGTCGTCGGGAATCTTGTAGACAAACTCCATGGGGGTGCACACCACCTCCCCCCAACTGCTGTAGTTAACGAACGCCATCACCCGGTCACCGATCTGTAACAACAACAACTTGGATTTATATAGCGCCGGACGGCGTCTCAGAGCGCTTTACAGTATCGGATCCCGGGGCCGAGCCGGGGGGAGAGGGAGGAGCCGGGGGGGGAGGTGGGGGGGGAAGGTGACCAAAGGCGCGGTCGAAAAGAAAGGCCTTCAGCAGAGACCTGAAGATAGGAAGGGAGGGAGTGAGACGAAGGGAGTGAGGAAGGCAGTTCCCGAGCCTCGGGGTATAGTGGCTGAAGGTACGGCCGCCGAGGGTGAAGCGGAGGACTCGGGGGACGAGGAGGAGGCCAGATCCTGAGGAACAAAGGCAACGGGTACTGTTTTGAGGAGAGAGGTCAGAGAGGTCGGTCGGTGCAGAGGAGTGCAGGGACTTGAATACAAGGGTGAGGATCTTGAAATCGATCCTCTCTGGGATAGGCAGCCGGTGCAGTCTGGCCAGGACTGGGGGGGATCCTGGGGTGAGTGGTGAGGGGGGTGGGGGGTGGAAACGGGTAGAAATCATCCCGTACGTCCCCTCCCTCGTTTGCAAAGCTCACCTTCACGAGCACCTGGGTACGAGCAAGCAAAAAAAGGACAGATGGACACCAACCTCGAAGCCTTTTGCGGTGTCTCCCAAACCTTCCACGATCCCGGAGCACTCGAAGCCGGGTACCAGCGGGGTCTTCGGGGGGTTATCTATGTTCCCCTGGCGGACCATCAAGTCTATAAAGTTTAAGCCGCTGGGTAAAAAAAAAGAAACAAAATGGTCAGGGCAGAATTACAGCCATGGATTGAGCGTTTGCCTGAACTCGCTCCAAAAAATACACAAGTCAATCCGCTTTACAGTAATATTCCGTAAAGCGCTTTGAGACATCACGTGATAAGGCGCGATATCAAACGCAAGGATTATGATTATTATTATTCCACCTGCCTGTCGCCTGCCACCCTTTGGATGAGATATAGCACGGCTCAATTGGTCACACTCTCGCCTCTGAGTCATTAGGCTGTGGGTCCAAGCCCCATGTTGGAACTTGAGCTCACAGTCCAGGTTCACGTTCCAATACAGTCCTGGGGGTGGGGGGTGGTGGTGGGTGTGAGGAGGGAGAGCTATACTGTTGGAGGCACCGTGCTGAGGATGAGACGTTAAACCGAGACTGTGACTGTTCAGGCAGACATTCAAGGAACCTGCGGAGCTATCCGAAAACAGAGGGGAGTTTCTCTCTCTCTCTCTCTCTCTCGTTCTCGCTCTCTCCCCCGATGTCCTGGCTGACAATCCCGACCCCCAGATAAAATAGGTCATTCACTTGGTGGCTGTTTGCGGGGTTCGTTGCTGTGTGCAAACTGGCTGCCGCGTTAGCCTAAATAAACAGTCACTCCACCTTAAGGTAACAACAACAACAACAACAACTTGCATTTATATAAGGACGTAAGAACATAAGAAATAGGAGCAGGAGTAGGCCATTCGGCCCCTCGAGCCTGCCCCGCCATTTAATAAGGTCATGGCTGATCTTCTAACCAAATTCCATTCACAAATTCCATATAGTGCCTTCACGTGGGGCTGCGGCTCAGGGCGCCTTGGAAATCTCCCGAGAAAGTGGTGCAGTAACCGTGTAAGAAATACAATGCTATTTGCCATGTTGCTGCTCGCCAATGGCTTTCACAACAGACAGGCAGGAAGGCTGCTTCGACTGCAGACAAGACTTGGTTTCCTCTTAGGCTGTAATGATGCAATTATGAGCCCTGCTTTCTCTCGGCAGCAACAAATCTGATCCTCCGCTCAGGATAGTGGTCCATTACCAGCTCCAGTGGAGATCTGACATTAGAAAATTTCTGCCCTCAATTACCATTGAGATTGAGAGATGCAGAGAGAGAGACAGAGCAGCGTGCGATAGATCTGCAGTACCTGCTGTAACTCCAGACCCAAGAGCATAGGCTGGAAATTGATCAAACCCACAGCAATGCTTTCAGACACACCGGACACAAGGTCAACTGTTCACGGGCTGTGAAGGGTGTGTTCAGCACAGACACCAGGAGTCTCGTTGCGGAGTGGTTAGAGCACTCGCCTCGCAAGTGAGAGGACCTGGGTTTGATTCCCGGATGGGGCGAAACCTTAGACAAGTTTCCTTACTCCGCACACCTCTGTTTACCTAGCAGTAGGTAGGAACCCAGTTGTTAATCGATTGACGGATCTCTTTCCGGAGGTATTAATCCCTCAAAACAAAATTGGTCACTCAATCCACGACTGTTTGTGAGACGCCGCTGTTTGCAATTGGCTGCTGCGTTTTGCCCACAAAATACACAGACACTACTCTTTACAATTTATTCTGGGAAGCGCTTTGAGACATCTCAATGATGTGAAAAGACGCTGAATCAAACGTAAGTATTATATATAATATGTATATATAAGAATATTAGTCAGGACATTTCAGGGAGTTGGGAAAGGGGAGATAGAGGAGGAGGCAGAGGGGAGAGGGAAGAGGAAAGAGTTGAAAATAGACCCCCAAAAATTATCAATTCCTCATCAGATCTCCCTTTTCTGATTTTTTTAAATAAAAACACAGGGTCTGTTTCCTGCAGCCACCACAAGCTGAGCAGTAAAATGGCTGATGTGAGCAGGTGTCTGGAATGCAGAAGATGAGAACTTTCTAAAAGGGATTGGACGGTAATACCACCTCCGCTAATTCCCCCCTCACCCCACCCCCCATCTCCCCCAACCCCCCTCTCCGAAACAAAGAAGAAGGCCAACAAAACATACAAAATAAAATCCAAACAGCAAAGCTTTTTGCATAAAACTCTGGTTCCAGCAAGAGGAACAGCCTCTTCCTCATGTCTCGGGGCTTGTGACGTCTGGTGAGGATTATTTAATATAAAGTGGGTCAGGGGCTCCTGACCATGCAATAGGGGGTCTGACGCTGAAATGTGGCAGGTCACTGAACATCTCTACAGCTAACCCTGGTGACAATGCTAAACAGTGGTCAATGTGGCCCAGGTCATTGCGCACTGAATAGATGATATAAATATTCCTTCCCATCGGTATCGATTTCTTTATCAGCCTGACCTTGTTGAGATTCTGTCCTCCCATCTATCTCTCTTTCTATCTATCTATCCTCTATCACCCCACCCCTCCATCTCTCCTCCAACCCCCTACTTCTCCTCCATTGCTCCTCCTACCATCTCTCTTCATACCCCCTTCTCTTCTCCATCTATACTCCATCTTTCCTCACCAGAGAGGCTAAATGAATCCTGTCCCCTCAGCTCCCCACCACTTGCCGGCCTTTCCCCCACTCCCCCCCCACCATGATGATGCCCTGAACAATGCACACGTTTTATTCCCAATTGGCTCAGTAGGAACTCTACCTGCCTTAAAAATTGCCACAAGAATATGGAGCAGCTCATGCGTTCTCGCAAACTGAGAAACTGCTGGCTTCTTGTCTGTCAAATGTATAATTACACAAGAACTTAGCTTTCTCCCCCAACACCCGCCCCCCCCCCCCCCCCCCTTCCCCTCGCCCATCCCTCATTTCGCTGCAACCTGCCATGGTGGACTATAGCGTATACCTTGTGGGGATTGGTTTAACTCTCAGTTCCATAATTAATTAACGATTTGGAATGGCAACAGTTCAGCAATTTTATATTGGAGTGGGGGGGAGGGGGGCGGGTCTTTGATCTTACACAGACATTTCCCCCACCAGCCCAGCAATTCCCCCCCACTCCGTGTCTGTTTGTGGTGTGGGAACAGATTCTTGGCCGCCGTGTTTCGCCCCCCACCCCCACCCAAAAATAGTCACTCCACTTTACGGTCTATCCTGTGAAGCGCTTTGAGACGTCCCAACGACGTGATAAGGCGCTATATCACATGCAAGGAATATTCTTACTATTATTATAATAACATACACTGTGCGCAAAACTGGTGCACACAGCAAAGCTCTTGGACACGTCCTCCTAACGTGAAAGGCGCGATATCAAACGCAAGGATTATAAGCCTTTGGTTCATCTTCCCCCCCCCTCCCCCCTCTCACCCCTCCTTCTTCATCTCCAACCCCCAACCCAGGCGCCCAACCAGTAGTCCTCCGGACGGGAATCGCGGTGCGTAAATATAAATGGTGGTATTGTAAACTGCATCGTTAAATCCACGTACCCCAAATAACAGCCAGCGCCTAAAGGAACCATTTCTTTTCCTCATAAATACATCCCTCTCTTCCCCCCCTCCAAACACACACACACACACACAAACACCGCCCCTCCATCTCTCTCCCAATCAACCTTTCCTTTTTTAAAAAAAAAACAATCGAGGGGAACCAGGCGATGGCTTTTTAATATCAAATCACGGGTTTCAATCCAGCAGTTATTGACCAGCCCATTAGCTACAAATGGCGTCAGTTGCGCCAACAATTTCGCAGCAGCGGAAAAAAAACCGAGAGAGATTAAAGCAAAAATAAATGAATAAAATCAATTAATTTATTGATGTGTCACACACACACACACACAAAAAAAAAAGACCCGCAGCGAAGCCGAATTAAAAGTTTAAGGATTTCACAAACAAGAGGGGGCTTTAGAAAGACAAGACAATTCCATTCAATTTCTCAGTGTCACGTCACTAAAAATGCATTTATTTTCTCTCCTGATTCCTGCAAAAAAAAAAGGCTAATTGTTGTATGTATTACCTGTGATTAGTTTGGTTTAGAGGACAGTGTGTGTGTGTGTGTGTGTGTGTGTGAAGATCAAACGATCTGCAACATATTGATCCTGACAAGGATTTAATTTCTGTGTCATGTCATTGAAGATAAATTGTTTTTTTTTTCTTCGCCCCTTGATTAAATTGCAAAAAAAATCTAATTACCAGTATTTATGTCGTGTGATTAGCTTTTGAGGAGGAGGGGGTGGGGGGGGTGGGGGGTGGGGGTGGTGGGGGTGAGAGAGAAAGTGTGTGTGTGTGTATGTGTGTGTGGAGATAAATGCAACATTAATCATCCTCACAATATTTGGGGATCATTTGGAAAAGGGGAGGAAAGGGGAATTGGTACCTTATCCACATCAATACGTACTATTATTAATATTATTAAATAAGGGAATGTGTAACCCCCCCACCCCCCCCCAGACACACACACACACACACAGTGCAATGTCCCCCCTGCGTTGTGTGTGTGTTATTTTTATTGATTGGCTCAGTGACTGGGAAAAGGATGGTGGGGGGGGGGGGGGGGGGGACCTTCCAATGTCCATCTCCATCATCCTCCCCTCTCTTGCCCTTTAATGTCTGAAACGAATCAAACCAAAACAACCCCCTCCCCACCCCCCCATCCCCATCCTCCCCCATCCCCATCACCTCCATCCCCCGCCATCACCCCCCATCCCCATCACCCCCATCCCCCCATCCCCATCGCCCCCCATCCCCATCACCTCCATCCCCCGCCATCACCCCCCATCCCCATCACCCCCATCCCCCCCCATCCCCATCCCCCCCCATCCCCATCGCCCCCATCCCCATCCCCCCCATCCCCACCCCCCCCATCTCCATCACCCCCATCCCCATCCCCCCCCATCCCCATCGCCCCCCATCCCCATCGCCCCCCATCCCCATCGCCCCCCATCCCCATCACCCCCCCCCCCCCACCCCCAAAAAAAAGAGAAAGCCACCCCTGAGCCAGCCGCCCTCACCAAGCCTTGACGCGGATCTTTATGTCCCTGCCCTGGGGCTCGGGCATCGCTTTCTTCGTCACCCTCAGTTTGTTGAGCCCCCCATAGCCGCTGAGGACCACAGCCCTGATCTCCTTGGCATCCCCTCGGGCACCACCCGCCTCCTGGACCGCTTCCTTCTCGATCATCTGCTCCGTCTCCTCACCCTTCTCCACCCCATCGTTAGCCATCATCGCCCCTTTCGCAAAGAAAGTAGAGTGAGAGGTCGTTTGCTTTTCTCTCTCTCTCTCCCTCTCTCTCTCTCTCCCTCTCTCTGGAGAGAGAAAAATCCCCTCTTCCCTCCCTCCCTCCTTCTCTCTCCCTCTCTCTCTCTCTCTCTCTCCTCTGTCTTTCTCTCTTAAAATAGCTGAATGATTATTCCTCTCTCCCTCTGTGTCTCACACTCTCTCTCTCTCTCTCTCTCTGGTGTGTGAATGAGCCAACAGCCAGTCCGCTCCCCAGCAATAGCACAGTCTCACCAGTGGTCGTTATGTCCCAGACTGTTACACGCCTTCTGACTGATAAAACCATCCACACCAACTGGCAAAAGTCATCCACCTGCCTGTCCCCCCCCCCCTCCACCCCCCTCCCCCCCAACCCCACTCACCACCCCAACTCCCTTCCCACAAACTATTCAGCTCTCAGCCCGGCTCGGTCGCTCTCGCCCTCGCCCTCGCCCTCGCCCCCAGAGCCAGAAAGATTTCGGTCACTTCGACAACCGTCCGCCACTGTTCCGCGGGGACGTGACTGTGCGCAATTGGCCACCGCGTTTGGCCCACACAGTGCGCAGTCGCCACACTCGACGGCCTGTCCTGCGCAGGGCTCGGAGACGCCTCGAAGACGCGATCGGCGCTGTTGTCGGACGCGCGGATCGTCAGAGGTTACTGTCGTGGGAAACCGATGCTCCGGCCCAGAGCTGGGAGAGCACGGCAATATCGGAGGAGTGGTCCTTAAACCCACCTTAACATCTGCGCCCTGTTAAAGCGAGCGTTAAACATCTCACGGCGCCGTCGGAAGAGAGCGAGTTTCCCCTGGTGTCCCCGGCCGACATTCCTCCCAAATAATGTGCGCAGCTCAGCTGTGGGGTTTGCCCACAAAATATACGGTCACTACAACTCGCTGGTCCCGTGGAAGCGCTTTGAGACTTCTGGCCGATGGGATGGTGCGTTGTATTAGAATGCGATACTGGATTATTATTATTATTATTATCATTATGGTGAAAAAAACAGTAAGCAATTTGTGTCAAAATAACTTGTCACTGAAGGCCTTTCCCAGGGAGGGATGAGTTATCAGGAATTTACTGTAATCTGCTAACGTAGCCATTAAGCTTGCCGCGCACACTCTCTAATCATTAGCTGCGAACAGCAGGAACTTATTCCCCGGTGGAGGCGAGGCTGCTCACAGATGCTCAGGGACACCATGTGCCCGACTTATTTCATAATAGTAATAATTTGATATAGAATCTTATCAAGTCCTTGAGAGACGTCTCAAAGCACCTCACGGGATGTACTGTAAAGTGTAGTGACTGCGTATTTTTTTGGGGGAGGGGGCGAAATATACCACGCGCGATGAGTTGACGGGACGCAGTTGCAGCGTGTCGAGCACAGACGTCTTCGGAGGCTTGAGTGCAAAGGTTGGTGAATAACTTTACGTCAGGCAAAAAAATGTGACGTGTGATATTATCACCGGGGGACGTTACCACACGCTGCCATTGTAGTCAGGGTGCTTGACTATGACGTACCAGCTTACCACGTCGTCAAGACGTCCCAAAGCGCACGGAGGTAACAACCACAATTTTGCATTTATGCGGCGCCTTTCGCGTTGGCAAGATGTCCCAAGGCGCTGGACAGTCAGGGGGTTTGCACTCGAGCTGCAGGCTGGAGTCCAGAGGGTTGAGGGGCAAGGCGGGTGGTGGAAAGATAATCAAAGAGGAAGGTATTGCCTTTAAAATATGAGACCGTGGAGAATTTTGGGCATTTCTCCGATTGGGTCTTCGAACTCATATGGTCCACTACCGACAACAACGACTTGTATTTATATAGCGCTCCTCACGCAGGTTAGCGGTCCAGAGCGCTTGACAGTGACGGAGCACGAGGCCGAGCTGGGGGGGGGGAGGGGGGAGGTGACCCTAGGCACGGTCGAAGAGGAAGGTTTTCGGGCGCGCCCTGATGATGAGGAAGGAAGGGGCAAGACGGAGGGAGAGAGGAAAAGTGTTCCAGAGTGAGTCCAGTGTTTTGCAGTGACTGTGTTCCTAAGCACAAATAACGTGCCCTTTTTCAATCAAATACAGGTGGTTTTCTTTCTCTCTCTCTCTCTCTCTCTGAGACAGGCGCTACCGACCGCAACTGCGGATAACAGTCTCCTAGTGACCAGCACGCCAGGCTGTCAAATCAAACCCCATTGTACAGTACTTGTTTTTATCCTCAGCCAGACAGTTATATAACCATCTTGCATTCGTAACCAGCAAACCTCTCTTTAGATCATATCATTTTGATCAGGTCACTGTTTTAGTGAGATATATTTTGTCCAATTTACGACGCAGAAACTGTGCTGTGTTGTTTTCTTTTTAAAAACAACTGCATCTATATTTACGTTGCCAACAAATGCATATATGTTTTCTGTTGAATGAATGAATTTATTTCATTTTTGCTTTTGCAGTGCACAGAAATGAGCCTGTGTGAAGATCGCTGTATAAATTTCCATGTCTGGAATGGAATACACACTCTCTCCCTCTCTCCCCCAACCTAATTCTGGAGAATACTAGGAGCAGGTTAGTGAGAGTCAAAGCTTGGGGGTGGGGGGGGGGGGGGGGAGGGTAAGGTAGGGTGGAACCCCAGAGTATGTGCTGGGGGATCTAACCAGCTCAAACCTCATTGCACTGTTTACAAACAGCAACTCAGTCTTCATTCAGGTCAACATCTTCCAATATGGCATGAACTTCTGCACAGGTTTCTTCGGGTGTTTTATTGTCAGCCGGGGGGCGTCTGACACACGCGGAAACCCACCACCGTTGCTTAAGGGTATCCAGACCAAACTGAGAATGCCATGCGTCCCACCAACACGTGGAAATTCCGGAGATATTTATTGGAATGGAACGCGCACTCCCTCTCCCCCTGCAGAACCGCATCCTGCTTACTTAATTCCGAGGTTCCTTATTGCGTGCGTGCGTGCAGAAAAAACACGCACACCAAACGTGTGGTTCGAATGACCCGGTTGCTCTCTGAGGAGCGCGCGTTAATGGGTGTGCTGGGGTGAGGCAAGTCCTGATTTACGATTCCCCCCGCAGTTGTGGAATCACTGCACGATCCTTGGCTGAGAGACCACCTGCAGGGCTGAACTTTACAAAGGGAATCGACAGAAACCATTCATCTCTCCAGCTCGCTGCAGAATTCAAACCTCAATTGATTTCAGTAACAAAAAAAAACCCAGGAGATTCTGTGTGGGGGTGGGAAGTGGTCTATGAACTCCCTGCCTCAATCCCTCCCCCCCCCAACCCAACGCCTAATAATAATCCCTCCAAAACAAAACAATAATAAATTGGTCACGGCTGTTTGTGGGGAAGCTGCTGTGCGCAATTGGCTGCCGCGTTTCGCCCATAAATATACGGTAAATTCACTTTACAGCATATTCCGTGAAGCACTTTGAGACGTCGAGAAGACGTGAAAAGCGCTATATCAAATGCAAGGATTATTATTATTATTATCCGCTTAAATCCCACCTCAAGACCCACCTCTTCGTCAGTGCCAATTGTCATCTCTCGCCTCCCACTTCTCGACGTCTGACCCCCCAGTGACTATGGAGTGATGAGTTTGATGGTCTCAGTCGGGGTTCAAATTGGCTCTCATTTTCCCCAGGGTCAGGGAGGGGAAAATCAGCCAGGGCTCACGCTCCTGCTACCGTACCCACCACTCTTTGTGTGTGTGTGTGTGTGTGTGTGTGTGCGTGTTCACTTGCCGGGACATTTCCAGTAAAAGGCAGTAAAGTCTTCACGAGCGGTGCGATGCTCAGTGGATCTCCGACTCTGCAGTTCACCCTTGTGGAGCGCTGCTTATAAAGTTATCAGGTAGGGAGTGCTTTGGTGGAGTTCATCGTACATTTGTTTTACCTCAGTACTTCCCAATCTTCGTCTTGATGGATACACAGAGCTGCCGCACTGGCCTCCTTGCTGGGCTTGGGAGATAAAACGGGCTAACCTCTGTTAGCCTGTTTACCTGCGTGTTTCCAGTGTGTGTTGTAAAGTAGGTCGTAACACGTCAATTAACACTCACCTACTACTGCGAACTGCAAACTGAGCTCAGCGCAGGCTGACAACAAACACAAGGGCTTGTTTACACTGGAGCCTGGTCCACCCTCTAATTTACCATTACGGAAGATTATCAGTGCTCTGCATAAAGCCTGCACGGGGTAGAGACGATTCAAACGGCTGGCAATCCCTGGGTATGCCTTCGACTGCAAAATACAAAGTCACTACTGCATTGGACTTTACAGTAAATCCTGTGAAGCGCTTTGAAATGTCGTCCTACTGACATGATAAGCACTGTATCAAATGCAAGGATTATTATTATTATTATTATACCATGTTATTAAAACACTTTTGTTACTTTCTTCCTCCCCAATTTTCTCTTGTATTCTTTGCTTCCTTGGCTCCCTCACTGGAGCCATCTCCTCTTATCCCCATCCCATGCTCCGTCCTCACACGCCTTGATGTCTAACAGAAACGTGCCTACCGAGGCAAGTCTTTTTGCATGTGTGTGTGAAGATTTACTTCCCTGAACGCCAGGTACTGTGAGGATGCTTAACACTGACCCTGCGTCATAAATCAGCTGATCAGTGTCGTCAGTGATGCTACCATGGTCCAACCCGTTAGGAGGGGGAAAATTGTTGTAATTTTTTTCACAACAGAAAGTACATGGGGAGAAATAACAATCCTGGTGATCTGATGTAGCGTCAGAATATCTCGAAGCGCTTCACAGGATTTACTGTGAGTGTAGCCACAGCGTTTTCGTAGGCAAACACGGCAGCCAGTTTGCGCACAGCGACGTCCTACAAACAGCCATGAAGTGAACGACCGATTTTATTCTGGGGGATTGTCAGCCAGATACTGGAATAGAGAGAAACTCCCTTCTCTTTTGAGTAGTGCCGGGGAACCTTATGATCTGCCTGAATAGGCACAGACGGGGAGCTCGACGCTGATTGAATCCTAGAACCCAACACAATACATCTGTACATTTATGTCTCCTTCTCGGCTTTCAAAACCCTTTGAAAAACCTTCCTCTTTGAGCTATTCCGCAAGGAGACTCTACTTTCCCCATGCGCACGCTTTACCAGCAAACCTCACGTCTAAAAATTGAAAGTGATTAAATATTTAGGGCAACAACAGTCCAAATGCACTTGCATGTGAATGCTTCTTTGCAATGACTTGCCCTTCAGCCACAAAAAAAATTAATTGACAAAAGCATCAGTGAATTGAGAAGTACCCTTGCATTTGATATGGCTCGTGTCTTATCATGGCGAAACAGTTGAAAGAGCTTCACAGGGAATCACGTGTGGAGAGTGATGGCTTTTAGTGTCCTGGCCAGCAATCCGCCAAAATAAAACTGGTCACTGACTTCACGGCTTTTTTGTGAGATCGCCCCTTTGAGCAAATTAGCTGCTGCGTTTACCTACAAATAAACAGTCACTGGCACTTCCCAGTAAAACCCTTCGGGACGTCTGAACGACGTGATAAGGCGCTGTATCAAATGCTGGTGGGGGCGGGAGGTTGGAGTGGGGGTGGTCATTGATTATTGTTTTCCGGCAGCAAAGTGATGTTATTCAACATTTAGCCTCTCGGGACTCTCTGATGCCTGGGTTTACCGTCAGGTTTGGAAACTCTGGTGGAGATTATAACAGGGCGCAGGTTAGGATCTTTAATGAAGGGCCTGAACAAGACACGTGGGACACAGAAACAAATGAGATTAAAGCGGAGTCCCACAGGGCTGGCGTTTACAATGCTCATTGGGATTTTATCGATTCACCAGGTTCGGCTTTGCTTTGTCTCAAGCTTATTTGTTATCCTCTAAGCCATTAACAAGCGGACAAGCCGCCAGTTAAGGATCATCCATTCAGGGTCCCCAGCTGTCACGCACCAACGTGATCTGAACCAAGAAAATGAGCTTCTGAAGAATTTGTTTCACAGGAAGAGTCCGTGAACTGGTAAACATCACTGAGGACTGAAATTCCACCGAGTCGTAGCCTGAGAGACCCTACATTTGGCCTTAAAAACAATAATACTCCTTACATTTGATATAGTGCCTGATCACATCGTTGAGACGTCTTAAAAGTGCTTCACCGAACATTCTGTAAAGTGAATTGACTGTACTTTGTAGGAGAAAAATTTAAATTAAAAAATGTTTTTTTAAACGCCCCAAATTGCTGGAAATTCTTGAAACCGGCCGTAAGTTCGAAACCGTGTTTTTCCTGCTCAAAAAAATAAACGAAAATTAAGATTGAATTTAATAATTTTCCACAAATCTTCATTTTTTTAATGACAAAATGGCCTAAAGGCTGAGATTAAGTTCAATTTGAAGCCTCGGGGGATTTATTTTTGAGATGCTTTGCGCAGTTTTGCCCCATTTTCTCTCTGTTCGCCTAGAAAACACAGAGTAACTCCACTTTATAGTGTATTCTGTGAAGTGCTCTGAGATGCCCTGCTGATGTGAAAGGCGCTGTACCAAATGCAAGGGTTTTATTGTTATTATTTCTGGTATTTTTAGACAAAGGCAAAGGGCTCTGTTACAAAAAATAAACCAACACACAGGCGTGTGCAGAACAAACAGCAGCCTGGGTGTGGATCATTGACAAGAGTCACTGAAATCAGATACTAATTCCGTTAAGATGGCACTTGTAAATAAACCGCTTACAAACCCGAGGATAAAACGACCCAGCAGGGAAACATTAGACGATGCAAATTTCACGGACGAGGAAATGTCAGCCTGAAAACAGCATTAATCAGCCCAGTGGAGAAAAGCCAATGTGCGATATTGCACCCATTGAAAGGCGACGGGACTGTAAAATTCTAGTGATGAGCACTCGCCCTCTGGAGGGTGATGACTCCTATTCAAGGCGAGGGCTGTTACAGTGCCACACGCTCAGTAAGCAGTGAAGCCTCCAAGTGACCAGCATCGATATAAACTGCACTCCTTCGGTCAATTTGCCGCACTGTCGGGTCAAGAGATTCTGTGTTATTGAGAGCGACACAGGGACACGCAATCGCCAGTGGGGAGAGGAATTTAATCACACGCGAGTATAAACACGTGTGCTCCCAACCTTGCTGCCACACACACACGTGCCAGTTGATTTCATCCCATGAACAGCCACGATGTGAGTGACTGATCTTATCTGGGGGACTGTCGGCCAGGATACTGGGAGAGAGAGAAAAACTCCCTTCTCTTTTCAAACAACAGAATGGGATCTTGGAACACCCACATGGTCAGGCAGACTGGACGTCAGTTTAACGTCTTATCTGAAGGACAGCACCTCCAGCAATACAGCACACTATGTTGTAGTGTCAGCCTGAACTGTGAGCTGAAAGTCCAGCGTGGGGGCTCAAACCCACAGCCTTCTGAGAAAATTGACAAATGTCCTTTACCACAAACAGCCACGAGGTGAATCACCAAGTTATCTGGCAGACTGTTGGTCGGGTGAGTAAGGGCAGGCAGATGGGACCCCTGGTCATCATCTAAACTGAGGATAAATCTGTCTGCTGTTTGTCTCTAAAACAGAGCAGCAGAAGGCTTCAAATTGAGTGTCTTCTATTTTTGGTGGTGATATTCGAACGGTTAATGTAGCTTTGAGTTACACTGATGACGGGGCAGCTGTGACCAGTGGTAGTTACACTGAAAAATCCACTGAAGGAGATGGCGATTTGCTTTAGCAAAGTAGCCGAGTCCCTCTATTTGTTATGTATCAAACGTACTGATGTGAATTGAAAGTCAGCTCCTTCAGCTAACTTCATTGGAATAATGATCCCTGCTCAGAGGAAGGCCAGTGCTTGCACACTGCACTCTATAGGGAAGCAGCAAGGAAAACAAAAGCAAGATTAAGCACCAGCAGCCCAGCTTGTACAAGCAAAAATTAGCAGATACTGAAGATCAGAGAAAGCACTTCAAAAACACTGCCCACCCCCCCACCACCCCCAACCTCCCAAAGGGAAATTCAGCTGTAAATAAATGGTTATATATAGACACGCAAATACTTCAGAGGTTTCAGCTCTAAGTGTATTTATTTAAACTTAAGACTTTCCGCCACCAGCTCAAAACAACATAAGTGATGATAAATAAGACCGACACAGTGGAGAGACCGGATTTAGCTCGCCAGTCGTGAATAGCAGTCGACAGGAATTATTAATGATAATAATAATCATTAGTGTTATTATTACAAACAAAAGCTGTAACCTCGAAACGTCACAAAAGCCCTTCATCAACAGAGAACGAAGAGGCAACTTGAACAAAAATAAAAACGGCGAGAATTATGGCTCGTAGGAATTTGAGAAATGTCACCGCATTAAAAATAGGACAGTGGCTGACAACAAGCTGGGGACCCCTTAAACGTTTCCAGCTGAACTTAAAAAGTATCTTAAGCACGCGAGCGACAGGGAATTAGGATCCGAAACTTCAAAGCTTACTGGTGGCGTATTTGGCCAGGAGGAAACGGTCCATGCTCGAGAGGGGGTTGTCGATGTCAAAGTCTACCTTAAAGGACGGCTTCTCCCCCAGAACTAAGAAGGCCACAATGATGCTGAGGAAGGCCGTGAGCCCCCAGATAGTGAAGGGCTTGTGGAATTCATGGTCTGTGAAAGTGAAGAAGTGCAGCAGCCCCACTTGGCCAGTGGGGGAATTGTAGGAGTTGGAGGTGTGCTGCTCCGGGGTGAGAAAGTACTGCAGAGGCACCACGAAAACCTCGCTGACTTCATCCAGGTTGAGTTGTGCCTCGAACGTTTCTGCCACAATGCCCACCACCGGCGTCACCAAAATGTCATCCTGGCGCAAGCAAACAAGCAAGCAAGCAACAAAATTACATTTGTATAACGCCTTTCACGTCAAACAAACCCAAAAAGTCAGGACGCTGCTGTGCGCAATGTCGGGTTTCGCCCAACAAAATACGCAGTCCATCCACTTTACTGTATTTCCAACAGTGTCCCATAAACAGTTGTGGATTGAGTGACCAATTTTTTTTTTGGGGGGAGGGATGATGGATTAACACTCGATTAAGAAAGGACACACGCATACAAGCGCTTTGAGACGTCTCAATGTGGTAAGGCGCTATATCAAATGCAAGGATTATTATTATTATTACACGCACACCGGTAGCAGTTTACCTTGTTAATTACAGGGACCAGTCTGCAGAGAACTTCCACCTGATTTGGAGAGAGACCAATTTCTTCCTTCGCTTCACGGAGAGCTGTAGCTACGTCGTCCACGTCTTCCGGTTCCTGTTTCCCGCCGGGAAAACAAACTTCACCGGTATTGCTTCGCAACTTTGCAGAATCGATTTGTTGCGGGGGTTTTTTGTGGGGGGGAAAAAAAATACAGAAACGTAACTCTGCTACGTCACAAAGCGCAAATTAATAACACTTCTATTTCAGCACAGCTATTAATGTCAAAAGATGTTAGGGTGCCTCATGCAATGAGTTACTTTGAAGTGTAGTGACTGTCAGTGAGTAGTCAAACGCCACAGCTAATCCCCACCCTGAACATCTCCCACAGCTACAAGACTGATGACCAATTTGGGTGAATCTGGATGAGAAGCATAATGAACCCCTTACCCCACCCCCTTAAGCAGTTCCACAGCATATTTAATATCCACCTTATGTCAACGTTGCTTCACCAGAGACCTGCTTAACATTCACCAGTGATAATTATCACATCACACGTCGCATTTTATCACTGTGATTTCCTGAGGTACGTGATATATAACCAACCTGAAAGTGACAGCTTCATTTGTCACTGAGTAAACCAATAACTTTTGCTAATTCCAGGTATCTGCAGACGTCACTGTAAAATGAAAGACTGCTCCAGTACCGCTATCTCCTGTCGCGCAACAAAAAAAACCTCCGCGCCCCCCCACCCCCAGGGCTCACATCAGGGCCCACCATGGTCCTGTTAGGTTGGCTGCCCCAGCCCATGGGATAATGTGTCCGTCCACCTGACCGCTGGCTCCCGGTCCCCGCGTGCGCAATATGGCTGCCGCTATGACCCGAGCCCCCTCACCCCCTCCCTCCCTCCTCTCTACCCCCAAACCCTCCCCACTCTGCATCTCTCCCGCTCTGTGCTCCTCTCTCTCCGTCCCTCTTGCCTTCTATCCCCAGTTGACCCTCCCACAACCTCCCTCTGTTCCAGCCTGGGAATCCTCCGCCGGGCTCACCGCGGCACTCGGCGTTGGCTGTCCAGCAGCAGCCACACCGACTGCCCCATTCCCCACCACACTCGCCAGCCACCCCGGACACAGACCCGGGGAGCCAACCTCTCCTCCCTTATCCCCATTTCCCCCACCCCTGCCTCACAACCTGGACCCCCCTCCCCTCCCACACACCCTTCTGTCAACCGCTCCATCCACTACAAAACGTCCGCTCCCTCTGTAACAAGGCCCTGGTCATCAACGATCTCATCCTTGATGGGAGCGTTGACATTATGGCCTTAACGGAAACCTGGCTCACCCCAGGCGACACCTTCCCCCTCACGGAGGCCACACCACCCGGCTACACCTCCCACCACATCCCTCGCCCCAACCGCCGTGGCGGTGGTGTTGCCCTTATCTCAAGGACACCACTTGCCCTATCCCCCTACTCCTCTGGCTCTTTCCCCTCTTTTGAGCACCTCACCCTCTCCCACCCCTCCTTCCTCTCACTTAAAATCCTCCTCCTCTACCGGCCCCTAAAACCTCTCCCACCTTTATCTCTGATATCTCAACACTTCTCACATCTCTCTGCCTCTGCTCTGATCGCCTCATCATCCTGGGCGACTTTAACCTGCACTTCACCCCCTCCTGCTCCATCTCCTCAGATTTCTCTTCCCTGCTCTCCTCACTCAACCTCTCCCTCCACATCAACTCCCCCACTCACAGTCACGGCCACCCACTCGACTTGGTGATCACCCGGGGCCTCAGTGTCTCGGATGTCACCATCACCGACAAGGCCGTCTCCGACCACCACTTCATCTCCTTCACCACCTCCACCCCCTCCCCACCTCCACCAGACCCACCACCATCTTCTACCGCCCCTGGAAGAAGTTACCCCCTCAATCCCTAACCTCTGCCTTGGAGTCCTCTGAACTCCTCTCCCGCTGGCCTTCAACCCTCACCGACCCCTCTTCTGCTCTCACCCTCCTCCACAACACCCTCTCCTCCACACTTGACACTCTTGCCCCTATCACCTCCCGTACTGTCTCCTACTCTCGCTCCTCCCCCTGGTTCACCACCCACCTCCGCTCACTGAAGAGCCAGGTGCGGGCCGCTGAACGCACCTGGGTCAAATCTGGCCTAACGGTCCACCGACAAATCTGGCTGGACCTCCTCAAAATCTACCGCTCCACTCTAGCCTCGGCCAAATCGTCATTCTACTCCAGGATAATCCTGGAGGCGAAGGACAACCCCAGGCTACTGTTCTCTACCACATCCCAACTCCTCCGTCCCCCCCACCACCCCGCGCAGGTCATCTCCTCCAACCTTCACTGCGAGATGCTGGATTTCCTTGAATCCAAGATCAAGGGAATTCGCTCCGCGGTCACTTCCCCTCCAACATCCAGACATCGTCAACCTGTCCCTCTCCTCTGGCTCTATTCCCATTCCCTTAAAAACTGCCACCATCACTCCCACCTTAAAAAAACCCTCCCTTGATGCGTCGCAGCTATCAAGCTACCGGCCCATCTCCAACCTCCCCTTCCTGTCCAAGATCCTGGAACGAGTTGTCGCTTCCCAGCTGCGCTCTTTCCTCTCCAACCATTCACTATTCGAACCCCTTCAGTCAGGTTTCCGTGCTGCCCATAGCACAGAAACTGCCCTGGTCAAGGTCACCAATGACATCCTGACCATCTGTGACCAGGGCTCCCTCTGCCTCCTCGTCCTCCTCGACCTATCGGCAGCATTCGATACGGTCGACCACGCTATCCTCCTCCACCGCTTGTCCTCCCACCTCAACCTTCAAGGCTCTGTCCTTGAGTGGTTTAGGTCGTACCTCTCCCAACGTCTCCACTTTGTCTCCACAAATGGTTTTTCCTCCACCCCCCACACTGTCTCGTGCGGTGTCCCTCAAGGCTCTGTCCTCGGTCCCCTCCTCTTCACCCTCTATATGCTCCCCCTGTGGTGACATCATCCGCAGACATGGGGTTAACTTCCACATGTATGCGGATGACACCCAACTCTACCTTTCCTCCTCTACCCTCAACTCCACGACCCCCGATGTCCTGACAGCTGTCTGTCCGGCATCGAGTCCTGGACGAGAGATAACTTTCTCCAGCTCAACGTGCGTAAAACTGAGGCCCTCCTGATTGGCTCACGTCAGCGCCTCCGCACCTCAGGCGCTGACACCATCACCATCCAAGGCTGCACTCTCCACCTCTCAAAGCCATCAGGAACCTCGGGGTTCTGTTCGACCCTGAGCTGTCCTTTCTCCCTCATATCCACACCACAACTGGCACCGCCTTCCATCACCTCCGGAATGTCGCCAGACTACGGCACTACCTCACCCCTCACGCTGCTGAAACCCTGGTCCACACCTTTATCATCTCAAGGCTGGACTATGGGAACTCTCTCCTCGCCGGCCTTCCCGCCACCTCCCTCCACACTGCAGGTCATTCAGAACTCTGCAGCTCGTGTACTGTCCCGCACCAGGCTTCGGGACCACATCACTCCCACCCTCGCTCGCCTCCACTGGCTCCCCATCCCCCAGAGGATCGAATTAAAGATCCTCACCCTCACCTTCAAGGCCATTCACAGCCTTGCTCCTTCCTACCTCTCCGACCTACTATCCCCCTACCTACCTGCCCGTACCCTCCGTTCCTCTGGCTCCGGGCTGCTCCACGTCCCCCGCCCCAACCGCCCGACCATCGGTGGCCGGGCCTTCAGCCTCTCAGCCCCGAGGCTCTGGAACTCCATCCCCCAGTGCCTTCGCCGCTTCCTCCCTTTCCTCCTTCAAGGCCGGTCTCAAGACCTTTCTCTTTGACCTTGCCTTCAGCTCCCCTCTCGACTCTCTACCCCCTCCTCGCTCCCTCCCTTCCCTCCCCTCACCCTGACCATTTTCCCCTTGCTCGGGTCCTGACCCAACTGTACAGCGCCTTGGGACGTCCTCCCGACGTGAAAGGCGCTCAATAAATGGAATCTTGTTGTTGTTGTAAAGACTGGCTTTGGAGCAAAGAAAATTGAATGTTATACAGCAAGGGCATATTACAAGTGCACTACAATTAGGGAGCTAGAATTTATTCACTCATTGTTCTGTGAGTGGATGTGGTTGAAGGAGAAAGTCTAATCATCCTTGAATTTGATAAGAGAGCCATTCGGTCCATCCAGTCTGCACCGGCTCTCAGAGCAAGCTGTCCATTAAATCAGACGCCACCTACTTTGTTGTCTGAAAACACCTGTCTGCCCCACACCATTGCCGTCATTTCTTTTCAGGAATAGATTTGTCTTCAGTGTACTAAAACATTAAGACACTGTTTCAGCCGCATCTAATTTGCATATAAATAACCTAATTAATTTAACAACGGAGACGAAGGTTGCAATTGACTGATAGTTAATGATCACGAATGATGTATTGGTTGATCGGAGGATTCAAACAATGCTGCGGCCAATTCAGGTTTTGAACTTGTGGCTTAACGCTGGGAAAGGAAAATGCAGGGACACTTTTTTTTGGCCTGTGCATTTCTTGGTAAGACATCCCAAATTAGCAGGATGTAAGATTTGATTCAAATGCAGGAGCTGTCTGGAAAGCTGCTCATGTTGGTTTTATCCCCTCTTCTTCTGGGGACATTAATTCGCGCCGGGGTGCAGGTTGCCTGAGGAGTCATCTTTCTTTCATTTGTAAGGTTGGATATGTCGTGATTTGTTTCAAGCATTATTAGCAAGCTGTTCAGCCCTGCTCAATCCTGCTGCACACACGCCTAGTGTCCCGTAGCACAGCGACCTGAAGCAGGAACCCTGGCTGAGTTTTCTCCTCCCAAACCAAGAGCCATTGAGGCCAATTAATTATGGTGACCTGACTGAGATCAGCTAACTCGGTAGACCGTGGAATCAAAGCTATGGAAACCTTCATCATATATTCTCTACAGCTCTATTTCACTTCCAGCAGGTAGTCAGCCATCTGGTGAGCTGCGTGCTAATTTAGTTCTACATGAAGAACAGCAACTCTGGGGCCAGTCTACTCCAAATTTGCTCCAAATGCTTCCCAGGCAGGTAGTTAATTTCACATTAGTTCATTTGGAAAAATGAAAAGAAAAGCTTTCAGCCCACAATCATCCACTCTCTCCCACTAATCTCTGGATCGCTCTCCCACATTTCCACCACCTTGCCTGCAATCCCTCTAAGTGTTTCCTCCTTAATGCAATTTCTGATACCGTTTCTCCTACACTTTCCCTAACTCCTTTCCTGATTTGCTCGGAGACCTTCTGGGTTCCTGTCAAGCGATTTGTAGCATCGCCCCTACGTGAAACAGCCGCTTTTTAAACAGAAAAATAATCTTAAAAATTAGAATCATAGAATTATACAGCACAGAAGGAGGCCATTTGGCCCATCGGGTTCATACCGGCTCTTTGAAAGAGCTGTCGAAATTAATCCCACTCCCCCGCTCTCTCTCTCTCTCTCCATAGCCCTGCAAATTTGTCCTCCCCAAATATCTACTAAATTAAAACGGAATTTAAGAAGCTGCTGAATTCTGGGGTCTGTGAAATGCTAATAGTGCAAGTCTAGATTCAGTGTGGAATTTCAAACAGCACCTCCTTCCATTCTGTCATATCACATCAATTAAATTTCTATCGATTTATTTTATCACCAGGAACAAAATATCATGTACCTTCAATGATCTGACAGTGAGCAGCACATAGATTTCCTCGTTCTTTATCAACAAAGGCACGAGCACTGACGCTTTGGGGAGCATCAGATCTGAGTATTTATTTCCTATATCGTATTTCGGCAGTAGATCTCTGATCCTGTCTTTAGTTGATAGTCTTATGGGAAACAGAGGCACAAACAGTGTCACACTGGATTAGGGCTCGAATATAACCTTTACGCAGACGCTTTCTTTCTTTCTCACTCTCTGAGCAATCAGGGCGAGGCAAAAAAAATAGAACAGGAGCACCTCAAAAACAGAGCAGCGTTTTGTTTTGCTTTTTAAAAGGGAACGACCGGGGGTTCCTTTTCTAGGAACAGAGGAAGTTGGAGCCACTGGAAGGGGGAAATATACGGGTTCGAATGAGAATTTTACACCTCAGAAGCCATTCACCCCCCCTCTTGCCTGTGCTCTGCGAAAGAGCTATCTATTCCAACCCACGGCCCCCCGACACTTTCCCTCCCCACCACCTTTCCCTTTCAAAGGCTGCGACGGATTTTTCTGCTCGAGGCAGTGCTGTGAGTCTGTCACGTCACGTCCTAATAAACCCTCTGCGTGCGCGCGCTCGCGCGCGAAATAAATTCCCTTAACCCCTGACTTTGTATTTGTGGTATTGATCATAAATTGAAAATCGCGGACCCTTCTGCGTGGACGTCACCGTGGGTGGGGGGTGTGGGTGGGGGTGTGGGGGGGGATGGGGGCGGGAATGGGGGGGAATGGGCGAAAGCCACACAATAAATCAATCGGTCGCTGCCCAGTCGCGGCTCGGGCTAAAAAATGAACAATCCCTCGCGTTTGGCGCAGCGTCTCGTCGCGTCGTCGAGACGTTTCGACGCACTTCACCCGATGCACTGTGAGGTGTAGTGACTGTGTGATTTGCGGTCCAAGCGCATGTGATCCAAAACCTCAGCGTGTTTTAAAACTGTAGCGAATAGCGAATAAGATTTCAAATGTTTTAACCATTAACAACATGGGACGCGTATCAGTGATATTACTGCGCGGTTACCGGGGGGAGGGGGGGGGGGGGGTTTGTAGGGATTATACCGGGGGTTTAGGGGCTGTTACTGGGGTTTGGGGGGGGTTACCGGGGTTAGTGAGGGGTTACCGGGGGTTAGTGAGGGGTTACAGGGGGTTAGTGGGGGGTTACCGGGGTTACCGGGGGTTAGGGAGGGGTTACCGGGGGTTAGTGGGGTTAGGTGGGGTTAGTGGGGGTTACCGGGGTTAGTGGGGGTTACGGGGGTTAGTGGGGGTTACTGGGGGTTAGTGGGGGTTACCGGGGGTTAGTGGGGGGTTACGGGGGTTAGTGGGGGGTTACCGGGGGTTAGTGAGGGGTTACCGGGGGTTAGTGGGGGTTACGGGGGTTAGTGGGGGGTTACCGGGGGTTAGTGGGGGGTTACGGGGGTTAGGGGGGGTTACCGGGGGTTAGTGGGGGTTACCGGGGGTTAGTGAGGGGTTACCGGGGTTAGTGGGGGGTTACCGGGGGTTAGTGGGGGTTACCGGGGGTTAGGGGGGGTTACCGGGGGTTAGTGGGGGGTTACCGGGGGTTAGGGGGGGTTAAGGGGGTTAGTGAGGGGGTTACCGGGGGTTAGTGGGGGGTTACCGGGGGTTAGTGAGGGGGTTACCGGGGGTTAGTGAGGGGTTACCGGGGGTTAGTGAGGGGTTACCGGGGGTTAGTGGGGGGTTACCGGGGGTTAGTGAGGGGTTACCGGGGTTAGTGGGGGGTTACAGGGGGTTAGTGGGGGGTTACAGGGGGTTACCGGGGGTTAGTGAGGGGTTACCGGGGGTTAGTGGGGGGTTACCGGGGGTTAGTGGGGGGTTACCGGGGGTTAGGAGGGGTTAGGTGGGGTTAGTGGGGGTTACCGGGGGTTAGGGGGGGTTAGTGAGGGGTTACAGGGGGTTACAGGGGGTATCGCGCCTATTCCCCGCGGTGTCGGTTTTTAAGGCGATAAAATAACCAGAACCTTCTCGTCGCCATCGCTATGCTCCGCCCCTCTCCCGCCCTACACTCCCCGCACAGCGCCCCCCGCACAGCGCCGGCTCCGGCGGCCACGCCTGGTACTGCAGCCAGAGCCCCCTGATACACCCCCAACACTGACCCCAATACACCCAACACTGACCCCAATACACCCAACACTGACCCCAATACACCCAACACTGACCCCAATACACCCAACACTGACCCCAATACACCCAACACTGACCCCAATACACCCAACACTGACCCCAAATAAACAAACCCAATAGTGACCCCCAATACTCCAGCACTGACCCCAAATAAACAAACCCAATAGTGACCCCAATACTCCAGCACTGACCCCAATACTCCAGCACTGACCCCAATAAACCCACTACTGACCCCAATACAATAAAAAATCACATTTGCATAGTGCCTTTCATGTCGGGAGGGCATCCCAAGGCTCTGGACAGTCAGGGATGTGGTTAATAACCCCAACACTGACCCCAAAAAACACAACTACTGACCCCAAAGCCTCCAAACTGACCCCCACTGCCCCGAACTCAAACCTGCCGCTGACCCAATGCTCCCAAACCCAATTGTTTAATGCTCAGCAAAGTCCCATGGACATCTTTTTTAAAAAAAATGAAGTTCAGTGAGAGTTACACAAACCTGTAATTTAACTGAAGGGTTCAGATCACACAAACTATTAAGGCGGGAGGCTGGGGTAAGAGATTTACCCAAGATCTAAGAAAAACAACAGCAAAACAAGCTGAATGGCTTCCTTGAGTTCCTGTAAGTGTAAAATATCAAGGATACTTTCGGACTATGACCCTGAGATCTGATTACTGTTAGAAATTATTTCAGAGTGCGTGTTTCTTCCCCCCCCGTACGCAGATGTTTGGATTTTAGCCCATCACATTATTAAGCTATGAGAAGCTTCAAACACAGTAATAATGGTACACAAAACCATTCATCTCTGTCGTTTTGGGGACCCAGCACACACCATTAATCTTACACGGACTCTGCTGACTAGCGTAACCGTGTGCAATATTATTTACTTTAACAGCCCATTGGATCAGCAAGCACGATGATCTACAGTATATGCAACTCCTACATTCTCAGAAGGACTGATGATTAATGAGAATGGTGCTAGAGTGGTACTAATTGGATAAGGTGTAAGCTACAACAACTTGGATTTATATAGCGCCCTCCGCGCCGGACGGTGTCTCAGAGCGCTTAAGCTAGCAGGGAACATAGGAACAGGAGAAGGCCATTCAGCCCCTCGAGCCTGTTCCACCATTCTATTTGATCATGGCTGAACTGAACCTCAACTCCACTTACCCGCCTTTGCCCCACATCCCTTGATACCCTGACCTAATAGAAATCTATCCACCTCAGGCTTGGCAATTTGAATGGATCCAGCATCCACATCCCTTTGGGGGAGAGAAGAGTTCCAGATTTCCACTACCTGAGAGAGGAGAGGTGGGGGGTGTTGTTATCGCACACTCCGGACCGAGCAAACAGAAACACTGCCTTTGAGAGGTCTGGGTGGCTGCAACAAGGTCATAAAGCACAGCGTTTTAGGCTGACCCTGAGATATAAGACAGAAAGGCTACTGCGTAAGCTATGTCCAAGCCGGAGGGAATGGACTAGCTATTGGCACCCTCTGCTGGATGTGACTCAGTTTTTCTTCCCCTCCGCCCACAACGAACTAATTTTGAGATGACAAGACTTGTGTTGAATGCCCTCTGCTGGGTAATTTTCTCACGTGCAACTCTCTGAGGAGAAAAGCGCGCACTATTTTTCAAGCCAAAAGAGGAGACAAGTCACGCACGGAACAGAAAAGATTTTGATCTGAGGTTTTGAATTTTTTTTATTAATTTACCATTTCTCAGGCTCGCACACTCTCTCTCTCTCTCTCTCTCTCTCCCCCTCTTGCCACCCCCGCCCTCCCCCCAAGCCCATGGTTGAAGACTCTGACAGTCTGACCACCAAAATAAAGTAACGGAAAGTACAGAAAATGTGTATCGGATAGATTTGGGGAAGGGGCAGGACAGAGGGAGGGCAGGCTTGGAAAACCAATAAAACCAGCCAGCGCTCCTTGCTGTTCTCATGCACAGACCAAGCCAAACCTCCCCCTGCACACTGGAATCCCCTTTCCAATTGAAGCACTGAGGGTGGAACCGCAAGAACAGGCTGAGACCATCCAGCCTGTTCTGCAGATAGCAGCTGTGTTATCTGACATGTTCCAGGGCCTGGCCTGCTCCCCGTTATGTTATTACTGATAAGACGGTTATATTTAGAGGTAGTTTAGAAAACTTTTCCCCACCCAACTATAGTAGCTGTTGAGTTTTACGACGGGATTGATAATCGTGGCCCGCTAAAGCGCCAACAACGCCAAAACATCTCACAGCGCTTCACGAGTAACTGCTGTCAAGTGACTATATTTTGTAGGCTGCCAATTTGCACACAGCAAAGTCCTGCAAACAGCAAGACTGAATGTCCGCGAGCATCAGCCTCGACTGTGAGCTCAAAGTCCCAGCCAGTGGAACATAAATACACCTTCACAAGTCTCTTTCCTTAATGGGATTTCACAGATAAAAGATTTCAGATAAAACACACTATCCGCTCCCCCTGGGACTCGGAACTGTGTAAGACAAATACCTTCCACCACACATTTTAAAGGCATCTCTTCATAAAAATTATGGAATTATTTAATATTAATATCCTGTGCGGTCTCAGCATACATTCAGTACATTTTCTTCTGAGTGCAAAGTGAAAGGCTTTACGGCTTAGAAAGGGTTATAACAAATAATCCAGGAACATCCGGCAGCCAGAAACAGTATAAAGTGTGAGACGTGGACCCATCACGAGGTTTGTGTGTGTGTCTGTTTTGATCCGAGGCATAAAGTCGCTGCTTAATCACACTCCTCTGCCTCTGCGGCAAGCTGTCAGCTCACCTCTCCTTCAGTGCGTTATTCCCATCACTTTGGAACAGTAGTGAATATTCGAATTCCGTGCATTTCTTGGATTTCCTGTTTTAACACCTGAAATAAAAGCAAACCAAGAGAGTGGATATGATGAAATCTTTGAGGTGTCATTCACAAAGCCACAACAAAAGGCTTTTTGTTCTCATGTAGTGCTTCTCTTTTCCCCCTTCACTCTGGGCGAGGGACAGAAACTCTAGAAAGGAACTCTTCTTATACCTAGTGGACAATGGACGAGGAACAGAGTAAAGCCTCCTCCAGGAGCAGGGTTTAACTTCACACCTCGTAACAGCACTGCAGCAATTAATTTTTGCATGGAAGTGAAATCACAAAGTAGTATTGAAACATACGACGGTTTTGAGCAATAAGTTCAGACTCTGGCAGTTACAAAATAAAAAATTTCAACCATCCATCCATCCATCTGTCTGTCTTGAGTCCAGAACCCATGAGAAGAGGGAATTTGCTAACAACCCATTGTGTCTCCCTGAAGCCTGGAGTCCACAAATGCCTGTCGCCCTCTGGGAACTCATCCAAGAGGCAGACTAAAAGGGGAATGAATTCTCCACTGGATTTAAGGGAGATAAATCCAGTTTTTATTTACCCCGTCCCCATCTTTCACTCGTGCTCTACCATTTGTGAGTCTACAGAGAATTTAAAAAGCCTTGGAAAGAATTGGAACTCAGTGATACCTCGTTAACCATCTGATGCTGTTGTACCATTCGCTTTCCAACAAACTCTTTAGATTCAATGTGGATTTCATACATGGCCCCACAGCCTCCTGTGGAAAGAAAAGGTAATGTTTAACATCTCTTAATCTGGGCATAAATGCAAAGACAGCGAGTGTTGCAGGGAAGAAGAGAATTGCACATGACGAAACACAAAATCTCAAATAATTTTTAAATACAAAAGAATAATCCTGGTGTTTCGTATAGCGGCTAGGAAATCAAAAAGTTCGAAGTAATGACTGTACATATTATTCCACACTTTGGTGACTTTCAGTGATGTCAAATTAGCTGTTACACACATATTGCAAATGAGACA